GAAGATATTTCAAATGGTGTGGCCGACAACTCGCGCCGGACTGACGTCTTTCTGGCAAAAGTGTCTCTCCCCCTGCCCTCTCCCACCCCTCTAAAAATGAGTGAAGAACACCAGCTGGCTAGATCCTTGTATCGTCGTGACGGAAGCAAACAGAAGACATATCGAAAGTGACCCGGATTGCTCCGGACTGAACTTGAATCGCGTGGCTTTAACCGTTGAGCAAAACGAACTTTCGTCAGCGTTTTTTTTTTAAATCGCCGTTCGAGTTTTGCTTTCCGAAAGAAAAGAATAACAAAAAGCCACCGCGTCGAGTTGGCTGAATCCCTTTCGTTGTTTTGGTGTTCGCTGAATGGAATTAGCGCCGTCATCCCCGGTGTGACCCTGTGCCGTTAAGCGGCAAGCCACGCTGAGGACTGTCAACGTGCTGAGGAAGCGCGGCGTGGACACGTTGTTCCCTCTCTTCCCAGGGTCCTCCGGGTTTTTCTTTTTACCCTCCGCATTTTTAGAATCGACGCGCGTTGAGACTCTCTAGGTTATTCGGCGCCAGGTCGTTTCTGAAAAAAATACGCGAATGCCTTCAGTGGGCTTCACCTGGTAAGATAAAAAATATATATATACTTAGTTTTCAGTTGTATATTTTTTTACGTGATTTGTTTACTCTCTGTCTTGATTTCAAGCTTTCGTGACTGCAGGAATCCACACTCTTTAAAAAAAATAATTGTGATTAATTTTATTTTATACCCACGTGACTTTACCGAAAGAACCAAAGAGTATGATTTGTTTACTTTTCCTATACTTTGCACTCCTATCGTGTGGTTGTGTTGTGTTTGTTGTTGTAACGTTCTGACCCCGTGCCCCTACTGGATATCTGTGCAACAAAAAAAAGCTTTATAGCTCATCGGATTCCTCCTGCAGTATAAACACCGATTCTAATTCTCACAATTTTGCTCGTGCTTTGAACCGTCGCTCTTAGCTAAGTACATTACATTTATCATCCACTAAGAAATATATCGGAGATGCGGCCTCGCCCGCCCATCTGCGCTAACAACAAGCTCCATCCTCCTCCCACGCATGCTAAAACATCCACAATACGCCCCCACGGCTCCCAGCCAATGCTGCCATTCATCATCCCGACCTCCATCTGTTCTTGTGCACACCCTTGAGAAGAATCATCGTGACAGTTTGGTTCCAGTTCCGACTACTGCTGCAAAAGCTCGGCCGTCCGTCTCTCCCCTTCCCCCCTCACCACCACCCCGTTCGGCTCGCTTTCCTACCGCACAGTGAACCCTCCCGTGCCATGGGGCGAGGGGGTGACTTACGAGAAAGAACTCAGTTGCAGGCTGAAGGGTTCCAGAAAGTAAACAACTCGACAATCATCGTAATCATAATAATAATGACAAACCAACATTAATACGAATGTGCTCATTTTTTTCCCCCTCCCCCCAAAAAAAAACTGACGATAACCATCCGTACTCTTTGGTTCTATTCGGTAAAGTCACCACGTAGGTAAAAAATAAAACGACAAAAATCACGACGTTTCAGCCACAACACAAGCGGCCTTCATCAGGTGAAGGGACCAGACTGCCTCGAGGACAGCGCTGGAGTGAAACACAGCCAAGCTCAGACCGCGACCTTTAAGCTGTGTGAGAGTAATTAAGGTGCCTTGACAAAGGAAATAGCATAAAAATTTGCAAGTCAACTTCATTACTCTCACACAGCTTAAAGGTCGCGGTCTGAGCTTGGCTGTGTTTCACTCCACCGCTGTCCTCTAGACAGTCTGGTCCCTTCACCTGATGAAGGCCGCTTGTGTTGTGGCTGAATCGTCGTGATTTTTGTTGTTTTATTTTTTACCTACGTGACTTTACCGAATAGAACCAAAGAGTATGGATCCTTGCAGTCACGAAAGCTTCAAATTTTAGAATTGATAACTATCCGTCGTCGCAATCGTTTTCCCTCATTGTTTCAGCCTGTCGTCCGGCTGACGTAGACTTGCAGCGCAAACGAAAAACTACAATTTCACATTCGGGTGGCGTGGAAGGCGACCGGCGGGGCGGACGCGGCGAACGAGACGCATCGAACGCCGATCTCCACCAATCTCCAGTGCGGCAACACAACAACCGGGCAATCACACAAACAAACAAACAAAAGCTGCGAGCAATAAAAATAATAATAATACTCATTATTATTGTTTGCTGTCATAAAAAATGACCGCGGACAAGAAGGCAAGTTTAAAGTATTCTTCTGTGTCCTGTCTCCTATCCAATCAACGCGCGTTGCTTTCCCAATTATTCTGCACGGGCCACCTCTACTGGCGTTGGCGTTGCCAACCATCTCGAGGTAGTGGTGCGTTGTGTTGTCACTACAGGACGTCTCAGGTAGTAGTGAGTTGTGTGGTCACTACAGGACATCTCAGGTAGTAGTGAGTTGTGTGGTCACTACAGGACGTCTCAGGTAGTAGTGAGTTGTGTGGTCAGACGTCTCAGGTAGTAGTGAGTTGTGTGTTCACTACAGGACATCTCAGGAAGTAGTGAGTTGTGTGGTCACTACAGGACGTCTCAGGTAGTAGTGAGTTGTGTTGTCACTGATGGACATCTCAGGTAGTAGTGAGTTGTGTGTTCACTACAGGACGTCTCAGGTAGTAGTGAGTTGTGTTGTCACTGATGGACATCTCAGGTAGTAGTGAGTTGTGTGTTCACTACAGGACGTCTCAGGTAGTAGTGAGTTGTGTGGTCACTGCAGTACGTCTCAGGTAGTAGTGAGTTGTGTGGTCACTGATGGACATCTCAGGTAGTAGTGAGTTGTGTGGTCACTCCAGGACGTCTCAGGTAGTAGTGAGTTGTGTGTTCACTACAGGACATCTCAGGTAGTAGTGAGTTGTGTGTTCACTACAGGACGTCTCAGGTAGTAGTGAGTTGTGTTGTCACTACAGGACGTCTCAGGTAGTAGTGAGTTGTGTTGTCACTGATGGACATCTCAGGTAGTAGTGAGTTGTGTGTTCACTACAGGACGTCTCAGGTAGTAGTGAGTTGTGTGGTCACTGAAGGACGTGTCAGGAAGTAGTGAGTTGTGTGGTCACTGATGGACATCTCAGGTAGTAGTGAGTTGTGTGTTCACTACGGGACGTCTCAGGAAGTAGTGAGTTGTGTGGTCACTGAAGGACGTCTCAGGTAGTAGTGAGTTGTGTGGTCACTGATGGACATCTCAGGTAGTAGTGAGTTGTGTGTTCACTACAGGACATCTCAGGTAGTAGTGAGTTGTGTGTCACTACAGGACGTCTCAGGTAGTAGTGAGTTGTGTGGTCACAACAGGACGTCCCAGGTAGTAGTGAGTTGTGTGGTCACTGATGGACATCTCAGGTAGTAGTGAGTTGTGTGGTCACTACAGGACATCTCAGGTAGTAGTGAGTTGTGTGTCACTACAGGACGTCTCAGGTAGTAGTGAGTTGTGTGCTCACTACAGGACATCTCAGGTAGTAGTGAGTTGAGTGGTCACTACAGGTCGTCTCAGGTAGTAGTGAGTTGTGTGGTCACTATAGTTCATCTCAGGTAGTAGTGAGTTGTGTTGTCACTACAGGACATCTCAGGTAGTAGTGAGTTGTGTGGTCACTATAGTTCATCTCAGGTAGTAGTGAGTTGTGTTGTCACTACAGGACATCTCAGGTAGTAGTGAGTTGTGTGGTCACTATAGTTCATCTCGGGTGGTAGTGAGTTGTGTTGTCACTACAGGACATCTCAGGTAGTAGTGAGTTGTGTGGTCACTACAGAACGTCTCAGGTAGTAGTGAGTTGTGTGGTCACTCCAGGACATCTCAGGTAGTAGTGAGTTGTGTGGTCACTACGGGACATCTCAGGTAGTAGTGAGTTGTGTTGTCACTACAGGACATCTCAGGTAGTAGTGAGTTGTGTGGTCACCGAAGGACATCTCAGGTAGTAGTGAGTTGTGTGGTCACTCCAGGACGTCTCAGGTAGTAGTGAGTTGTGTGGTCACTCCAGGACATCTCAGGTAGTAGTGAGTTGTGTGTTCACTACAGGACGTCTCAGGTAGTAGTGAGTTGTGTGGTCACTGAAGGACATCTCAGGTAGTAGTGAGTTGTGTGGTCACTGAAGGACGTCTCAGGTAGTAGTGAGTTGTGTTGTCACTACAGGACGTCTCAGGTAGTAGTGAGTTGTGTGGTCACTCCAGGACGTCTCAGGTAGTAGTGAGTTGTGTGGTCACTGATGGACATCTCAGGTAGTAGTGAGTTGTGTGGTCACTGAAGGATGTCTCAGGTAGTAGTGAGTTGTGTGTTCACTCCGGGACATCTCAGGTAGTAGTGAGTTGTGTGGTCACTGATGGACATCTCAGGTAGTAGTGAGTTGTGTGGTCACTGAAGGATGTCTCAGGCAGTAGTGAGTTGTGTGGTCACCGAAGGACATCTCAGAAGATGGTCCATGTGGTTTGCTTCTCCCGACTTGACAAATTGTTCGATTGTGCAGCAGAAGCAACCGCCCCCCCCTCCCACGATTTAACTAGAGAGTTGCATCTTGTCGAGACTCTCTTCGGCCGTGTTTTTTTAGGCCCCGTCACGTGGAGCCCATTTGGAATTGGGAGCCAGACAAGAGCTCCTCGCTGGGTGGGTTAATTCCACGGCGGCTCCGTTCATCAGCTCCGTCGCTTGAAGTATTTTTGCGACCGCGCACATTTTATCAGGGTGAAATTTTTAAATCGCCCCCTTCCACCCAATCTCCTCGTTTAACCTCAAATAACCATTTTCTGCACAGCTGCTGGGGTATCTGTTACATTATTACACAAACCGTTAATCTTGAAAACATGTGACGCGCGCTGAAAAAATAAATGCCCCCAAAGCAAGCGGATAGGGCCTTGGGGGGGGTGGGAGGTTCGCGCTTAAATGGCATGTTTGCTAAAAGATGTGGTTTTCAGAATTGTTTCGGGAAAATTCCAGAAAGTGCGATGAGTCTCGGGGGGGGGGGGGGGGGCTGGGGGGCGAGAGTAAGAGGCGCGCGACCATCGCGAACTCACTTCGTCGTCAGCCGACCTAACACAAACCAGACCGCCTTATCTGCTATTAAACCCAGATTCAGCGCGCCGCCCGAGCCTTGTTTCGTTTTCCACCTGAACCCTCCAAGCGCCACCTCCGCGCACTCTCGCAGGCCACCGCCGCCACCGCCGCCGCCGCCGCTTGTGCCGCGACGAGGGACACCGGGGCAGGCGACTCCCCGCGTGGGCGACCATGGGGCGTCGAGCGGTCGCGACAATCCTCGGAATCGCTCTGTGCACGCTCTCCGCCTTGCCGGGGACGGCCGATGCGCAGGCCTCCCACATCGACCGCCTGCTGCTACACAGCAGGATCCGCGGCAGGGCCGAAGGGTAACAACGCTCGGCGCACGCGCGCGCGCGCGACACGCAGACACACACGCGGCAAAGACGATGATGATTGCCCCCGTATAGCCTGGACGGACTGTTGGGCGCAAGTGCTGTTAGAGCAAAGCGCCTATGAAGTGGGGTGTGGTCAGGGTAACCGTGGCCGAACTTTGTCTCCCTAGTTGCGATGTTTCCACGAGGCACCGGGTACCCGTTTTGAGGCCGGGTCGACCCTGGGGGGTGGCCCGGGACCCCGGTTCATACAGTCGTCGCCAGCGCTGCCCGTGAACGGGGAATCGAACCCGGGTGGTCGGTTTCGTAGCGCGGCGCGCTAACCGCTACGCCACCGCTCCCCTTCACTGACACAAAGATCCCCCGTATAGCCTTAACAGACTGTAGGGGCAAGTGCTGTTAGCGAGCACCTATGAAGGCCGGAACGGTACACGAGGGGGTGGGTGGCCAGCACCACGCCCGACCGCCTTTGTCTCCCTAGTGACAATGTTTACACACCGCACCAGGTACTCATTTGAGGCTGAGTCGACCTAGGGGAGGCCCGGGACCGGTTCAGATAATCGTCACTGGTGCTGGCCGTGAGCGAGAATCGAACCCGGGTCGCCAGGTTCATAGCGCAGCGCGCTAACCGCTACACTATCGCTCACTGACACACATACACAAGCACACACACACAACGCGCGTGCACGCAGACTCACGCGCGCACCCAGCAACCGCGCGCCAACGTTGGGCCAACGTTGGCGCGCGGTTGGGAATTCGGTGGACCCAACGTCGTCGCGACGTTCCAAGTTTGAACTGGGCACCTTGCCGACACCGGCACCGCATACGATGGAGGTGTAGTGGACAGTGGCAATGTATGCCAACGTTTTGGTTTTTTTTTCCCCTCTTATTTTTCTCCCAAGCCTTTGATTTTTACTCACGGTCATCGGGGCACTCGGGGTGGGGGTGTACGCACGTATGCTTTAACTTCTTTTCGCACCGTGCGTGGCCTAAACCGTGCCAAGCAGAAGGATAACAAACCGCACACGAAGGGAAGTTATAAGGAAAGGAGCGGGTCTATCTGGTACATAGCATCCAGTGGCGATGTGGGCACCTCTCCTGCCAGTGTCGAAACACACGAATAGGTTTTACCCTTAACTGGCAATTAAACAGTTGTGTCAAGATGTGAACAACCCCAAACAAAAACCTTTTTGCAAGGAATCCTGTCTGCATTGACCACACACCTACTCGTGGCGAACATGCAAACAAACAAAAAAACAGAACACGCTCTGACAATTTTACATGACATTGTCTTTTTAAACCGCTTGGTCCACACCAGGGACAGCTTTCTTTTAGAGCCTAGCCTCAAACCACAGGACGCCAACAGGCGAACGGCACAAAGACTCCAGTGGCCTTCGTAATAACGGCAAAGAAGCGCGTTCCAGACGGCCGCGGAAGCGCATCTGATGACCGGAGTTCGACGTGACGACGGGTTCGCGCTCCTTGACAAGATCAGCGAGGTTGTCGTCGGTGTGACCGCCTGGCGCGGTGGGGAGTCCAACCCATCTCGCCGGAATCGCGTGGGGCCCCGCGCGGACAAACGCAGCGGTAGCAGCGAGCACGCGCGCGCACGCACGCGCCTTGTGAGCGAGGGACGGGTGGTGTGATCGCTTGCACGACCGCCCCCATGGCTAGCCGTGGCCGCTGTCCTTTTGTTTTATTTTTCTAAAGCGACGGCCGTGAATTTAGTGTCCCCCCACCTCGATATATTTGACGGAATTTTCAATGAAATCGGAAAACTCTTTCCGCGGACCGTGTCCGTAATTTCTGAAGAGCTCGCTTCTTCGTATTTTGTTCCGTCGGAAAGACAGCGTCCCTCATTAGGACGCTGTCCTTCCGACAGCGCTGTTCTTCACCTGAGGACGGCTGCTTGCGTTGTGGCCGAAACGTCGTGAGAATTTTAATTATGTTAAACATTTTTTTAATTATTTTATTGTTTCCCTTCTATGTGGTGACTTTACCGAATGAACCAAGAATATGAATGAATCCCTGCAGTCAAGAAAGCTTTAAATCGAAATTCTTCTTCCTTGTCGTACAGCCCGCCGATGTAGATTGCAGAGCCAACACGACTACAATTTCAACGTTAGGGTGGTCAAGCCACGGATAATCGCGTCAGCAGGAGCAGTAGCGGAGTAGCGTATCGGCCGTGATGTCGCCTTATTCTTATTTGTGGATTGGGAGGTATTGTGTGGTTATATGGGCAATGTTAGTTTATGGGTAGTGTTAAGTCTACGGGCAATGTTGGGTCTATGGTGCGGTGTTGAGTCTATGGGCAGTGTTGAGTCTATGGTGCAGTGTTGAGTCTCTGGTGCAGTGTTGAGTCTATGGGTAGTGTTTAGTCTATGGGCAGTGTTGAGTCTATGGGCAGTGTTGAGTCTATGGGCAGTGTTGAGTCTATGGGCAGTGTTGAGTCTATGGGCAGTGTTGAGTCTATGGTGCAGTGTTGAGTCTATGGGCAGTGTTGAGTCTAAGTGCAGTGTTGAGTCTATGGGTAGTGTTGAGTCTATGGGCAGTGTTGAGTCTATGGGCAGTGTTGAGTCTATGGGCAGTGTTGAGTCTATGGGTAGTGTTGAGTCTATGGGTAGTGTTAGTCCATGGGCAGTGTTGAGTCTATGGGCAGTGTTGAGTCTATGGGTAGTGTTAGTCCATGGGCAGTGTTGAGTCTATGGGTAGTGTTGAGTCTAAGTGCAGTCTTCTTCTTGTCGAACGGCTGATGTAGCTACAGAGCATCGACTACAATTTCACATTCAGGTGGTCAAGCCACAGACAACCGCGTGACCCCGATGTCTCCATCTTCGTGTTTGTGGATTGGGGTGTGGGGGGGGGCATTGTATCGTCACGCGTCGAACTGCGGTGCTGTTCCGGATAACCGCAATCGCCACACCACTACCGGAGAGGTTTTTGTTGTAAGATGCCCGTTGTACATTTTCATCGAGTTGTCTGTGGCTTTGCGGCGTGAAAGGAAACTTGTTTTTGGAAAATGGAAGCAGCTGCCCAGAGCTGCTTTGTGTTTCGAGCCAAGATCACGGCATGAGGCAGAGAACGCTTCAACGTTTTGGATGATTCTGTATTATTGTTCTTATTCACGTGAGATCGCAACGGATGATGTCTGCTTGTCAAAAGGCTTCGTGTGCGCGCGCCAAATATAATTTTACGGGGTTTTTTTTCGTTGTTTAATTTAAAACGTGCGTTCGTGCGTGCGTGCGTATTGTCTTTGGCGGCACGTGTTGAGCAGAGCGTAAGCCGAGGAGTAGCTGAGCAGCAAACGTGGAAATGTTGAGCCAACGTTCAGCCCAACGTTGGCCCCGACGTCGGCCTAACGTTGGCCAAACGTTGGGCCATGTGCTTGAAGGTAACCTGTCCCACTTGGGCCATGTGCTTGAAGGTAACCTGTCCCACTTGGGCCATGTACTTGAAGGTAACCTGTCCCACTTGGGCCATGTACTTCAAGGTAACCTGTCCCACTTGGGCCATGTATTGAAGGTAACTTGTCCCACGTGGGCCATGTACTTGAAGGTAACCTGTCCCACTTGGGCCATGTACTTGAAGGTAACCTGTCCCACGTGGGCCATGTATTTGAAGGTAACCTGTCCCACTTGGGCCATGTACTTGAAGGTAACCTGTCCCACTTGGGCTATAAGCTTGAAGGTAACCTGTCCCACTTGGGCCATGTACTAGAAGGTAACCTGTCCCACTTGGGCCATGTGCTTGAAGGTAACCTGTCCCACTTGCGCCATGAGCTTGAAGGTAACCTGTCCCACGTGGGCCATGTACTTGAAGGTGACCTGTCTCACTTGGGCCATGTACTAGAAGGTAACCTGTCCCACTTGGGCCATGTACTTGAAGGTAACCTGTCCCACTTGGGCCATGTACTTGAAGGTAATCTGTCTCACTTGGGCCATGTACTTGAAGGTAACCTGTCCCACTTGGGCCATGTACTTGAAGGTAACCTGCCCCACGTGGGCCATGTACTTGAAGGTAACCTGTCCCACTTGGGCCATGTACTTGAAGGTAACCTGTCCCACTTGGGCCATGTGCTTGAAGGTAACCTGTCCCACTTGGGCCATGTACTGAAGGTAACCTGTCCCACTTGGGCCATGTGCTTAAAGGTAACCTGTCCCACTTGGGCCATGTACTTGAAGGTAACCTGTCCCACTTGAGCCATGTGCGTGAAGGTAACCTGTCCCACTTGGGCCATGTGCTTGAAGGTAACCTGTCCCACTTGGGCCATGTGCTTAAAGGTAACCTGTCCCACTTGGGCCATGTACTTGAAGGTAACCTGTCCCACTTGAGCCATGTGCTTGAAGGTAACCTGCCCCACGTGGGCCATGTACTAGAAGGTAACCTATCCCACTTGGGCCATGTACTTGAAGGTAACCTGTCCCACGTGTGCCAAGTATTTGAAGGTAACCTGTCCCACTTGGGCCATGTACTTGAAGGTAACCTGTCTCACTTGGGCCATGTAATAGAAGGTAACCTGTCCCACTTGGGCTATGAGCTTGAAAGTAACCTGTCCCACTTGGGCCATGTACTTGAAGGTAAACTGTCCCACTTGGGCCATGTGCTTGAAGGTAACCTGCCCCACGTGGGCCATGTACTTGAAGGTAACCTGCCCCACGTGGGCCATGTACTTGAAGGTAACCTGCCCCACGTGGGCCATGTACTTGAAGGTAACCTGTCCCACTTGGGCCATGTACTTGAAGGTAACCTGTCCCACTTGGGCCATGTGCTTGAAGGTAACCTGTCCCACTTGGGCCATGTACTTGAAGGTAACCTGTCCCACTTGGGCCATGTACTTGAAGGTAACCTGTCCCACTTGGGCTATGTACTTGAAGGTAACCTGTCCCACTTGGGCCATGTGCTTGAAGGTAACCTGTCCCACTTGGGCCATGTACTTGAAGGTAACCTGTCTCACTTGGGCCATGTAATAGAAGGTAACCTGTCCCACTTGGGCCATGTACTTGAAGGTAAACTGTCCCACTTGGGCCATGTGCTTGAAGGTAACCTGCCCCACGTGGGCCATGTACTTGAAGGTAACCTGCCCCACGTGGGCCATGTACTAGAAGGTAACCTGCCCCACGTGGGCTATGAGCTTGAAGGTAACCTGTCCCACTTGGGCCATGTACTAGAAGGTAACCTGTCCCACTTGGGCCATGTGCTTGAAGGTAACCTGTCCCACTTGGGCCATGTACTTGAAGGTAACCTGTCCCACTTGGGCCATGTACTTGAAGGTAACCTGTCCCACTTGGGCTATGTACTTGAAGGTAACCTGTCCCACGTGGGCCATGTACTTGAAGGTAATCTGCCCCACGTGGGCCATGTACTTGAAGGTAACCTGTCCCACGTGGGCCATGTACTTGAAGGTAACCTGTCCCGCGTGGGCCATGTACTTGAAGGTAACTTGTCCCACTTGGGCCATGTACTTGAAAGTAACCTATCCCACTTGGGCCATGTGCTTCAAGTTAACATGCCCCACTTTGGGCCAGCATTGGCTTGTCACCTGAGTGACCGGTAACAACATTACTTTACACGTTTTGCTGTTAAACCACTTACTCACTCGCATGGGAGCCCAGTGTTTGCTTTGTGCTCAATGAACGCTTCTGAAATTAGTTGATGTTGCACGTTGATTTTGCCCCGACGATGGCGAGATCTCAAGAGGCCAGGACAGAAGGCCGTGGGCCCTATGGGTTGCATATGAATAAATGTGCTATTTTTCATGTGGCGAGACGGATATACATAGACTCCTCTACTTACAAACGAGTTAGGTTCCAGAGGTCTGTTCATAAGTCGATTTGTTGGTAAGTCCAACTTTACTCCTGTCGATTCCAAACACGGTGAACGGCATTGCAAGTTGTAGATCTAGGTCGATCTACATTCCCACCCTCACCATTGGTCATGAGCTTTGGGTTAACGACCGACAGGATGAGATCGCGGGTACGAGGAGCCGAAACGAGGTTTCTCCGCAGGGTTTGCCGGGTTCACTCTCTGTGATCGGGCGAGGATCCCGGTAATCCGGTGAGAGCCTCAGAGTCGAGCCGCTGCCCGGCACCCGGGAAGGATGCCCCCCCAGTATACTCCCTCTGGAACTCTACCGGGCAGCCGGCAACACTGGGCGAAGACCCCGGGGGTTGGCTCAGGACACGCTGCAGCTGGCAGGACGATGTTGTGTATAGTAGTGTATAGTATAGTGTATAGTGTAGTGTATAGTCGTGTATAGTAGTGTATAGTGTAGTGTATAGTCGTGTATAGTGTAGTGTATAGTCGTGTATAGTGTATAGTCGTGTATAGTGTATAGTAGTGTATAGTGTAGTGTATAGTCGTGTATAGTGTATAGTAGTGTATAGTAGTGTATAGTAGTGTATAGTAGTGTATAGTGGAGTGTATAGTGTATAGTAGTGTATAGTGTAGTGTATAGTGTAGTGTATAGTGTATAGTAGTGTATAGTGTAGTGTATAGTCGTGTATAGTAGTGTATAGTGTAGTGTATAGTGTAGTGTATAGTCGTGTATAGTGTATAGTAGTGTATAGTAGTGTATAGTGTAGTGTATAGTAGTGTATTGTAGTGTATAGTGTATAGTCGTGTATATTGTATAGTAGTGTATAGTGTAGTGTATATGTATAGTAGTGTATAGTGTAGTGTATAGTCGTGTATAGTAGTGTATAGTGTAGTGTATAGTGTAGTGTATAGTCGTGTATAGTGTATAGTAGTGTATAGTGTAGTGTATAGTCGTTTATAGTGTATAGTAGTGTATAGTGTATAGTAGTGTATAGTAATGTAGCGTTGGAGTCTGCCACCAGGGAAAGGGAGATCTGGACCGCCCTGCTCAACATGCTGCTGACGCAACACTCGCCAGGACAAGCGGATTGAGAACCGAAATAATTGAGAAGTGAACGAATAGTCTCATGTAGATGCAGGTTCCACTGGTTCTTCATGTTCTGCAGATGTAGATGCCACGGATTCTTCATGTTCTGCAGATGTAAATGCCACGGGTTCTTCATGTTCTGTATATGCCACTGGTTCTTCATGTTCTGCAGATGTAGATGCCACGGGTTCTTCATGTTCTGTATATGCCACTGGTTCTTCATGTTCTGCAGATGTAGATGCCACGGGTTCTTCATGTTCTGTATATGCCACTGGTTCTTCATGTTCTGCATATGTAGATGCCACGGGTTCTTCATGTTCTGTATGTGCCACTGGTTCTTCACGTTCTGCAGATGTAGATGCCACTGGTTCATCGCGTTCTGTAAATGCCACAGGTTCTTCATGTTCCGCAGATGTAGATGCCACTGGTTCTTCATGTTCTGTATATGCCACTGGTTCTTCATGTTCTGCAGATGTAGATGCATGGGTAATGGCACAGAACAACCTACACAATCTATTGCGCGGCGGTTGAACTTACGACTCTCGATCTGAACAGGCAACTGGACATATGGACAGCTTTGTTCGTATCTCTGAAAGTTTGTGAGTCGAATGTCCGTAAGTTAAGGAGTACCTGTAAATGTATATATGAAGGGGACATTTTGTGCTTATATATTTTATACAATTAACAGGAAACTGAACTCGAATTATTTCAAATAGCACCGTGGCGTTAAAAGTAAATATATGTGTATATATATAATAGACGACGTTTCGGCCAATGGCCCTCGTTGAGAGTACATTTAAAAAACACTGCAATGAAGACCCGTTACCCAAAACGTCATCTATTTTGCTTTTATTATTTTCAATGTATTATTTTAATTTAAAAAAATATATAATATTATTTTTTTCTATCTACGTGATTCTACCGAAAGAACCAAGAATATGTCATCCATTATATATGCGTTATTATTTATTTATAGGCCACGGTGTTATTTGCAAGAATTAATTTTGAGTTCATTGTTAGTTGTGCTTGTGCTCAACCTTCAATTGAGCAGCAGCAGCGTGGCCACAAAAGTTCAGACACATGGTTATTTCATTATTCTTTTTTGCATTGGCATTAGAACAGTGTCATTGTTTATTCTTCAAATTAATATTTCATCTAATTATCATTGCGAATATATGTGTAAAGTTTCCCCTTCCTTTTCAGGTGACGTTTAAAAATGGAAGTCAAATGAAATATCCCCTATGCGATTTTGTTAGAATAAATGTAACCCGATGTCTCCTGACTATATATATACACACATATCCAATTTTTTAAAACTATATTTTATTTCATTTTACCAAGTAAGGCCCCTTAAAGCTAAATAGCTATCTTCCTAAAGCGACCTGGCAATCACAAAGGATTGCTCGGCGAAGTGGCTTGATGTGAATTATTTTACAACAACCGCTCATTCCTGTCTGCCTTGCAGCATAGACGACAGCACCCAGGGCCGGATGAAGGCGTGGGGGTGGGGGCTTTAGGGGCTGCAACCCAGGAGGCCCTCCCCCACCTGGAGGGCCTCCAGAGATTGAAGTGAAAAGCGATTTCGTTTGTGAACGCTGAATTGTATTTGTTGTTTTTCTTTAACTTTGGTTTTCCTTTTGAAAATATTATACCTGGGGGTGGGGGGGGGGGGGGGGGGGGGGGGGGGGGCGGGGGGGGTTGTCCTGACAGTACCTGTAGCCCAGGGGTCTACACAATCTTAATCCGGCACTGACGACACCCATTAATTGACGCGCGTGACCTTTGTGCGAACAGGGCAACGCGGTGGCTGGGAAAATGTTAACTCCCTCGCCCGGTATGCAAGGTGGTCGTCAGTGCGATCCCCGCCCTTGACGATGCCTGTTTTACACTTGGAGTCTGCGTGTTCCCTCTCCCCGCGGTTACGGATTTTCCCCTCCACATTCAGAATCGACAGTCACGCGTTTCAGAGTGCCTGGCTGCTGCCGCGGGTGTCCACGTGACGATGATAAGCACGAATTTATTGAGCCATCAATTTGTGACAGCAATTTGACGCTTCTGAAAACAAAGAGCTACATGGCTTACCTGGTTAAAAACGTTCTTTAAAAAAAAAATGCGTTTAGGAGGGCACGGTGGGGCTCGATGACTGACGGATAAGAAATTAATAATGATCGCTGGGGGGGGGGGGGGATTTTGTGGCACTGGCCACAGCCCAAATGTGTGTAGCGTGCAGATGGCGACCAACAGCATGAAGACGTTCTACTCTTCCTGCCAGACGTGGTACCGCAAGATGGTCTGTGGCAACCCCACGTGAGTAACACCACCCCCATCACCACCACCACCATACCATCACAGCCGCGATTGGTCACTAATGGGCCGTACATAAATGACGTCACGCACCTAGCAGAGCCAGCAGGTACCGTGGGTTGACCGCCCGAGGTGACTACTGGCAGATGCACCCAGCTGTGCCCACCCACCCCTACTGTGCCAACCCCGCTGCGTTTTAGCTGCCCGGCGCTCCGCTCGTTGTTGTGAGCGTCGCTCCTCTTGCCTCCAAGTGCCCAGTGGCGTCCGTCACGAGCCTCCTCTGCGAGAGGTCCGACCTTGACACCCCTCCGCTCACGCAGACATAGACACCGATCGGGCACGGGGGGCGTCCATACATGACGTCACGCACCTTGGGAGGGGGGGCGGGGTCAGACATTTGTGACGATGTGTGACGAGGGGTGGGGGGGGGTTTGAGAAATGTGACGTCACATCAAAATGCGCAACTTTAAATAAATATAGACACAACGCGTTCTACTTAATGAAATAGACTTTTTTAAATAAATGTTTTTCTCCTACGACATCAGAGTGCAGCGCCGCATTAAATACGCACTACTACAATGACAATAGTTTAAAGCGATTTGAAGCGTGTTTTATTTTCGGGGGGGGGGGGGGGTGGTGGTGCAGATCTTTGTGACGTCATATTTGAGGGGGGGGGGGTCTGTGTTTTTGTGACGCCGTGTGACGATGGGGGGGGGGTCAAGAATCGTAAAGAAATCGCGTGACGTCATTTATGGACGGCCCCATGCCCCGTTTGCCATCAAGATAATGAGCTCAGGACGGCGCTAGCGATGTCCAGAGATGCGATCGTGGCCATAGGATCGCTCCTCACATGTCACGTGACATCAAAGGCGCCGCCTCGCCTAAAAAATGGCGAATAGCGAGTAACTTTTTTGTTTGATATTTAACAGCGGCCAGGATATTGAGACGACGGGACAGTGTATTCCGGTTTCATCCACTTTAGGAGTCGTCAGTAAGGGCCGAGCCACCAGGGGCTTTGGGGGTGCTGCGGTGGCTAGGAGATGTTAACACCTTCGCCTGGTATGCAGGAGATCGTGGGTTCGATCCCGACCCTGACGATGCCTGCTGTATATTTGGAGTTCGTGTGTATCTCTCTCATCATCATCAAGGTTGCTAGGAGATGTTAACTACCTCGCCTGGTGTGCAGGAGGTCGTGGGTTCGATCCCGACCCTGACGATGCCTGCTGCTGTATATTTGGAGTTTGCGTGTGTCTCTCTCATCATCAACATCACGGTGGCTAGGAGATGTTAACTACCTCGCCTGGTCTACAGAAGGTCGTGGGTTCCATCCCGACTCTGACGATGCCTGCTGTATATTTGGAGTTTGTGTGTCTCTCTCTCTCATCATCATCAAGGTGGCTAGGAGATGTTAACTACCTCGCCTGGTGTGCAGGAGAACGTGGGTTCAATCCAGACCCTGACGCCTGCTGCTGTATATTTGGAGTTTGCGTGTCTCTCTCTCTCTCTCATCATCATCATCAAGGAGGCTAGGAGATGTTAACTACCTCGCCTGGTGTACAGGAGGTCGTGGGTTCGATCTCGACCCTGACGATGCCTGCTGCTGTATATTTGGAGTTTGCGTGTCTCTCTCTCTCCCCGTGATCGCGTGGATTTTTCTCCGGGTCCTCGGGTTTTTCCCCTCCACATTTAAACTGGCTTAGCCAGCGGGCGAGGGGAAGAGGGAGCAGGCCCATGTGGGATGATGTAATGCGCCTCACTCTTAATTTAGTCGTTGGGTAAATTAACCTCCCATCACCTCCACCCTAACCATTTTATAAATTAGCGTGGCGGCAGAGAAAACGGTGGTGGTTAGTGACGGTGATTTTTTGTTATCGTTTTTTTTTTACACTTTTACTTTTAATTACTTCACGAAGGTGGTGAACCGATCCTGTGAATGATGCGAAACCACAGGATCGGGGAGGGAAAAAAAAAAATTGAAAAACGAACGCACGCAGGCTGGGCACGATCGCCATCCGTGCATTGTTACTACTATTGAAGTTAATTGTTCGCAGCTTGTCCACCCTGGCGCCCCAAGTACTGAGAGAATGTTTCTGAATATCACTCACGCCTCTGTCACCGATAAGAAATTATCCTGAAACAGATTGTTTGGCGACGCTGCTGGCTGCCTCTTGCATTGGCAGCGCAAGCAGAAATCATTATAAAAATTATCATACAAAAACTGAACACGTTGGTCAATAACAACACTGGTTTTAAAAGAAACATATATAATAGACGTTTCGGGCAATGGCCCTTGTTCAAAGTAGATGGACCATTACTCTAAACGCCTCCTATCATTTTTTTTATTTTTATGCCACAGTGTGGTTGAGGAACGTGCTGTTTTTTTGTTGTTGGTGTTGTTGTTGTTGTTGTGTTATCCCCTGAGACAAAAGCAGCGGTCTGTTGTTTTAACTGCCCGAGATCAGATAAAAACAACAACAACAACAAAACCCTCACTCTTGGCCTAACTGGGTTATAACCGGCACCGAGAATAACATTTTAGTCACGTGGGACAAAAATAAGCAAAAAGAACGATCGACTTGTCCGCCGAGACCAACCGTAAGTGAACGTGAGCGCTTGAGGCGGCCGATGTCACGCCTGCCGGATCGACGGGCGTGCGATAGCGTGATCCACGGGAGTGGTGGTGCAACGGTTAGCGCTACGTTCCGCAACCCGGGATTCCCGAGCTTCGATCCTCGCCGGTGACGATTGTCGCACAACTCGGTTCTGGGCCTCGCCTAGGTCGACTCAGCCTCAAATGAGTATCCGGTGCCTGCCAGGTTTGTTGTTTTATTTCTTTCCCCCCCCCCCCCCCCCCCTCCACATATAGAATCGACACCGCGTGTCGAGAGTACGCGTCCGCTGCTTTCAATTCCCCGGTGATGGCGGCGAGCCACGATATCACGGGTGGCCAGGTCGCTTCTGAAAAAGAGCTACATAACTCAGTGGGCCTTACCTGGTGAACATCACAATTGGCGTAGGCAGGGCCGGATCAAGGCGTGGGGGGGGGGGGCTTTAGGAGCCTCCAGAGATTGAAGTGAAAAGTTATTTCATTTGTGAACTGCTGAATTGTATTTGTTGTTAGCCTTATAAAAAAAAATCATTCTATTTTTATTTAACTTTGGTTTTCCTTTTGAAAATATTACTGGGGCGTGTCCTCACAGTACCTGTAGCCCAGGGGCGTAGGTATAGGTAGGTCAAGGCAGACAAAGAGGTCCGGGCGTGGTTGATGGCCACCCACCCCCTCGGGTGCCGTGCCGGCCTTCACAGAGGTGCTGCTTGCAAACAGCACTTGCCCCAACGGCCCTGCAATGGCTACACGGGTGGTCTTTGCCTTTGTCTTTCACAGTGACCGGTGAAAATTTGCAGTCCTTGTGGTGAATTAAAGAGAACAAAAACACAACTGCCAGCATTTAAAGGACACATTGTCTCCTAATTCAACGCGGGAACGCGTGAACAATAACCCCTCTGTTCTGTAACGCGCTCGACGAATTAAGGTTGACGAGACTGATCTTCGAAAAAATTTCGCTTCAAACGGAGCCGCTAATTTCATTAAAAAAAAAGAATAAAACTATCTGGGAATGGCCCCAGATGCATTGGCAATGAGCGCTGCGAACCGTTTGGTCCTGCGGGGGTCATTTTCACCGCAGACGCTGGCCGACTGCGGTTCAGCCCCAACACCACGGGGGCCCCACCACTCAGTAGGGCTGCCGTGGCCACGTGGGGGTGTGCGTTTGGCCAGCCTCGGCAGGAAATAACAACAATTCCCGCGAGTGGCACGGATGGATGTGTGTACGTACGTGTGTCGAACCTCTCTGGCACCGAACGTAGCCAATCCCGCTAGGAGGTCGTGTATGTGGGACTTCTTTTGCGCCGTACGTAGCCAGCCACGCTAATGTATGTATGCTGAGGTTCTTTTGCCGCCATATGGAGCCAGCTGCGCCGATGCCATTGTATGTACGTGGAACTTGTTTCGCGCCGTACGCAACCAGCCGTGTTAATCGGAGGTGCTGGGGATTAATCGGAGGTGTTGGGGACTAATCGGAGTTGTTGGAGACTAATCGGAGGTGCTTGGACTAATCAAAGGTGTTGGGGACTAATCGGAGGTGGTGGGGACTAATCGGAGGTGTTGGGACTAATCGGAGGTGTTGGGGACTAATCGGAGTTGTTGGAGACTAATCGGAGGTGGTGGGGACTAATCGGAGTTGTTGGAGACTAATCGGAGGTGTTGGGACTAATCAGAGGTGCTTGGACTAATCAAAGGTGCTGGGGATTAATCGGAGGTGTTGGGACTAATCAGAGGTGCTGGGGACTAATCAGAGTTGTTGGAGACTAATCGGAGGTGCTTGGACTAATCGGAGGTGTTGGGGACTAATCAGAGGTTTTGGGGACTAATCGGAGGTGTTGGGGCTAATCGGATGTTCTGGGGCTGTCGTAGATGCTGGGGTGGCTTATCGGAGATGCCTTGTCCCGTTTCTTTCAGCACAATCACGTACGAGTGCTGCCCGGGCTACCTACCAGTGGAGGGAGAGAAGGGCTGCCCTGCTAGTAAGAACTTGTGCCTTTGCACCCACTATTCACAACACGCAACTTGACTTTTTTTAAATGTGTTTTAAATTGTAACTCCAGACAAACCCTCGGTGTAAAGCACCAACCGTGAGCACGCAGGGAGGTGCCGAGCGGCGAGGGGACGCAGAAAGTCCGCGGACAAAAGCCACCAGGGTTCAACACTCCTGGGTTTAAGGAAGGGTGGGAGACATCCGTACGCTTTCGCGGCCAATATTGTGATTCGTGATTAGTTTCCTCTCGGGGTTAGGTACAATGTCAATTTGGTTCAACACGTAGGCTTTCGCGACCAATATTAATAATAGAGGTTTTGCGGGTTAGATCGCGTATTCATCTATAAATGCGTCGTTAAAACCCGCCACCACCCGACACAGCCAATTAGTAAGGTTTGTCACGTAAACAAAACGTGCCAATTCCTTACTTGTTCAGCACACCGGTTGTGTGTTGGAGAGTAAACCCACAACAACGTTTACACAACAACAACTAACAGCATCATCAGCTGGACAGCCATAGTTGTGGAGAAATCCACAACTCTGGCTGTTTCGATCTTAAATATAGGTGGAGGTAAATGCGACGGTCGTTACTTTGTGAGCCAATCAGGTGTGAGGACCCAGAGGGGAGTGGGTTCATGTAGCTGTAAAGACTGAAACCAACAGACCACTCTCACCTGAGATGGCGCCATGTAAACGGGCAGTCGGCGAGTGTGTCAAACGAAGCCTCTGATTGGTGCAGAGAGGCCTCAAAGAAGATTGGCCAAGGGCCAGTGGAATTGAAATTTGATAGGTCGAAAAATTCAAACGTAAAAGACGGGAGAATCGAGGGTTGACCGTCGGGGTGACGGTTGACAACCGTTCGAGAAGAAGGACGCCGATTGGCTGAGGGAATTGGGGGGTGAGTGAACCTTCTAGAAAGGGGGGGGGGAGGCCTCGAGGGATATAAAAGGGGGAAGGGGCGGCTTGGGGAGAAGGCGAAGTTGTTGTTGTGGTGTCCACAACACATGGCTGTCTATGATTGCTTTGGCGTTATTCGTGGCTAGTGTCATTTCTAACGGCGACTCCTCACGATCGCAGCCGTCGGAGCTCCGACTAGCAACGGCTGCGGTGCGTAGGGTGCGGGAAAAAAGTTCAACACGCACTAAAGACAGAGATTCCCCCGTGTCGCCTGTAACATACTGGTGGCGCGAGAGCTGTTAGCGAGCAGCACCCCTATGAAGGCCGGCACGGCACACGATGTTTACATGCTGCACCAGATACTCATTTGAGAACCGAGTCGACCTTGGGGAGGCCCAGATAATCGTCATGGGTGTTGTGCCGTGAGCGAGAATCGAACTCAGGTGGCCGGGTCGTGCAGCGCACTAACCACCGCACCACCGCTCCCCATACGCATAGACAAAGATCCCCCGTATAGCCTCAACAGACCCTCGGGGCAAGTGCTTTTAGCGAGCACACCCGCGCACACCCACGCACGCACAATATAGCGGATCGAGCGAGTTGCGCCGAGGATGCCACCCCCGCCCACCCCACCTTGCCGGCCACCGCCGTGTCCCTCCACCACCGCAGTCCTGCCGCTGGGCACCATGGCGGAGACGCTGGAGGCCGCGGGGGCGACCACCACCATGGCCCACATGGAACAGGCCGACCTGGGCAGCGTGCTGGCCGGACGCGCCGCCTTCACCGCCTTCGCGCCCGACGACAACGCCTGGAAGGGGGTGAAGATGGTGAGGGGTAGCGTGGCACGGGTTGAATGTTACCTCCCATCGCGGGGCCTGTAGCATATGTTATAATAAAGGGGCCCTAGATAACCAAAAAAAACAACCACATAAATATTAAAGCACGCATTTTTTTTACTTGCATCGTAAAGTAATTGTACTTTGTCATTTGCTGTATGGCCAGATAATTACGTGACAAATCGCTAACCTTAAACACCCAGCCGTTCGTAAAAGTTGAAAGCGGTATAGTTCTATAGTAATAGAGCAAGTGCAGAATCACTGAACCGGAATTGATAGCTTGAAAGCGTTTAGCGTGGGGCCCTTGAAAGTGCGGGGCGGGTAGCATTCATAGCTACTTTTGCTACTAGGATAACAGTGTGTAATAACATTTTTTTTTTCATGGGTAGTAAGTGTTATTTCCTATTTGCATATGCTCAAAAGTACAGAAAATGTATATTATTCCCCACAAACTTTGCTTTTCTGACCAGGACAGTGATATTTTGAAATGTACCTATTTTCCAGAACATTCCAGATAGATTCAGTGCTGAGTAAACTTGGAGAAACTTCTCGAAAATTCTAGACCTTTCCAGTAATAAATAGTAGTATAAATACAGGGGCCTTAAGCCCACCAGTTCAGTTTAGTTCCAGCTGTCTAAGTGTATACATATCTGCATTTTTCTGAGATGGAATCAAGAGGCTGCAAGCATCCGGCAGACACATTTTGTCAGCGGCCAATTCATCAAGACAAGAGTGAAAAAGTACTCTTTGGGACAGTAGGGAGACCAAGGCACACTATCACAGGCGGGACTGGCCACAGCGGACCGAGTTCTCTGTGGGGAGGAACAACGTCAAGTGGGAGCCACTGGTGGACCCCCGGAAGGTGCTGATGCCACCACTGCACATCAAATTGGGCCATATGAAACAATTTGTCAGAGCTGTAGATAAGGAGTCAACAGCCTTCAAGTACCTTCAAGACTTGTCTGAGGCAGAGGTCAAAGCCGGTGTCTTCGTCGGACTGCAGATGAAGAAGATCCTGAAGTGCAATTAATTCCCCAAGAAGCTCACGAGTAAGAGGAAAGCGGCTTGGAACAGCTTTATCGCAGTGGTTTGTGGCTTCCTCGGCAATCACAAGGTCGAAAACTATGTGGAGCTGGTTGAGACTCTGGTGAAGAACTATGGCAAAATGGGCTGTAGGATGTACCTCAAAGTCCATATCCTTGATACATTCAAGGAGAACATGGGAGCGTATTCGGAGGAGCAAGACGAGCGCTTCCACCAAGAGATACTGGACTTTGAACGCCGCTACCAAGGACAGTATAACGAGAACATGATGGGAGACTACATTTTGGGGCTGATTCGTGAAAGTGATTTACAGTATAATCATAAATCTCGAAAAACTACTCACTTCTAAATCTTTTGTAGTCATTTTTGTATCACTTTAGTATAAACACATGTTATTTTTGATTCATATGTTCTTTTTTTCTGATCGGAGGTGCTGGGACTAATCGGAGGTGTTGGGGACTAATTGGAGGTGTTGGGACTAATTGGAGGTGTTGGGACTAATTGGAGGTGTTGGGGATTAATTGGAGGTGCTGGGACTAATTGGAGGTGTTGGGGACTAATTGGAGGTGCTGGGACTAATTGGAGGTGTTGGGACTAATTGGAGGTGTTGGGACTAATTGGAGGTGTTGGGACTAATCGGAGGTGTTGGGACTAATTGTAGGTGTTGGGGACTAATTGGAGGTGTTAGGACTAATTGGAGGTGTTGGGGACTAATTGGAGGTGCTGGGACTAATTGGAGGTGTTGGGGACTAATTGGAGGTGTTGGGGCTAATTGGAGGTGTTGGGACTAATTGGAGGTGTTGGGGACTAGTTGGAGGTGTTGAGGACTAATCGGAGGTGTTGGGGACTAATTGGAGGTGCTGGGACTAATTGGAGGTGTTGGGGACTAGTTGGAGGTGTTGGGACTAATTGGAGGTGTTGGGACTAATCGGAGGTGCTGGGACTAGTTGGAGGTGTTGGGGCTAGTTGGAGGTGCCTTGTCCCGTTACTTTCAGCACAATCATAAATCTCGAAAAACTACTCACTTCTAAATCTTTTGTAGTCATTTTTGTATTACTTTAGTATAACTGCATGTTCATTTTGATTCACATGACTTTATGAGAAAGAAAAGAGACAAATTCACCCGTTTTCTCATTGAAAAAGGCTCCTAGCATAAATTTGCACGTGATGAGCCACTTTGTTTGACGAAAATTAGTGGCCGGGTGGCTTTTGCAAAATCGCTACATAGCTTCGTGGGCCTTACTTGGTAAAAACAAAAAATAAATGTCTTGCTAAATTTTAGTTGAGTTTTCCCCCCTCCACATTGAGAATCAACATCACGCGATTGGAGTATTTGGCTGCTATAAATGTCTGCATGATAAGCCACTTCGTTGAGCTATCACCTGGGGCCAGGTCGCTTCTAAAAAAAGACCTACGTGGCTCAGTGGGGCCTCACCTGGTAAAATTTAAATAGGCATAGGTATATGTAGGCCCAATGAGTACCTGATGCGGTGTGTAATAAACATAGCCACTGGAGAGACAAAGGTTGGCCGGGCGTGGCGCTGGCCACCCACCTCCTCGTGTGTTGTTCCGGCCTTCGTAAGTTGCTGCTCGCTAACAGCACTTGCCCCAACAGTCTGTTAAAGGCTACACGGGCGATCATTGTCTTCGTTTGCCGCAGACCGGGTTAGATCAAACATTTATATTACCTGGTAAGATAAAAAATGGTTTCGCTTTATTTGTATATTTTTTTGATGTCATTCGTTGTTCCTATACCTTGCGTCGCCATTGCATTGTTTGTTGTAACGTTTCTGACCACCCCCCCCCGTCCCCCGTGCCCCCCTTACTGAGACATCCGTGACCAAAGCAAGAGCTTTAACGGCTCATCGGCATTCCTCCGGGCATCAACGCGCACAAATATTCCGATTGCGTAGAGCGAGTCGGAGATCCGAGACTCCATGTCGTACTCGCTGGTCGACCGCCGCCTCCTCGGGAGGGACCTCAAGCACGGCATGACGCTACCGACGCTCAAGGAGGACGAGCTGCACGTCCACCACTTCCCCAACGGGGTGAGGGCACCGTGCGCCCCGCCACACGCGCCCCGCTCACCGCTTTACGCTTTCAACTCCCTGCTCACCGCTCACAGCTCCCAGCTCACAGCTCTCCGCACCCCAATCACCACTTCCCCGCTCACCGCTCACAGTTCCCCATTCACCACTCGCCACTCACCGCTTCGCCACTCGCCGCTCGCCGCTCGCCACTCTCCACTCTCTCCGCTTTCCACAGGCGAGTTATCCTGGGTGGCTAGGAGATGTTATCTCCCTCGTCTGGTGTGCAGGAGTTGGTGGGATCGATCCCGACCCTGACGATGCCTGCTGCTGTATATTTGGAGTTTGCGTGTCTCTCTCATCATCATCATCATCACGGTGGCTAGGAGATGTTAACTACCCCGCCTGGTATACAGGAGATTGTGGGTTCGATCCCGACCCTGACGATGCCTGCTGCTGTATATTTGGAGTTTGCGTGTCTTTCTCTCATCATCATCATCACGGTGGCTAGGAGATGTTAACTACCCCGCCTGGTATACAGGAGATCGTGGGTTCGATCCCGACCCTGACGATGCCTGCTGCTGCATATTTGGAGTTTGCGTGTCTCTCTCTCATCATCATCATCACGGTGGCTAGGAAATGTTAACTACCCCGCCTGGTATACAGGAGATCGTGGGTTCGATCCCGACCCTGACGATGCCTGCTGCTGTATATTTGAATTTTGCGTGTCTCTCTCTCACCGTGGTCGCGTGGGTTTTATCTTCGGTTCCTCCGGTTATTACCCTCCATCTCCGATTAGCACGGTTGGCTACGTCCAGTGCGAAAGAAGTTCAAAATACATACATACATTAAGAATTGTATTTATGTTTGTTGAATTTCTTTCACACCGTACGTAGCCAACAGGTCAAATCAACGTGCGTTTAGAGTATTTGGCTCCTGCTATAAATGTCCACATGATGATAAACCACTTCATTGAGCTATCATTTGTGGTGGCAAGGTGGCTTCTGACAAAAGAGCTATACGAGCTAGCTAATTTTTTTATATTAAATACTTTAATTTTAATTCATAATTGGTATAATTTGGGCCGGATCGTAAAGTTCACAAGCAAGCGACGTTACCCGACAAATTGTGTACGCTTCGTTGGGGTATGCAACCAGCCTCATCAGGATCAGCCTCGGGCAGGCAATCTGCACCTCAAGCTGATTATGGCTGGTGACACCGTTCGCGTGAGCACCAGGACAATAACAACAAGAACAACAACAACAACAACAAAATGACCTTCCACCCCACGTGGGCGCCTCACCCCTCCACCCGATTTCTGACAAATCGCCTGACGAAGCCGGTTGCGTTCATAAAGCGAATTGTAAATGTCGTGCGTTCACTGCCGAGCAGCCGGCCAGTGTGCTGAAGTGGTAACGAATGCGGCGCGTTTTGTTGACGCGGCGAAACCTCACGAGTCGGCCGCGTCGTGCGGCGGCGGGTATCACGGCAGCATTTGTACTTAAGCGATCTGGCCCGGGGAGAAGAAAACAACAACATCAAAAAACCGAGCTTCGATACGAATTCCCCCCCCCCCAACACAACCCGAGCCCTATTAGCTAGGGCGGCCGCTTTGATTCGAACCGCGGAGCCTCTGAGACGCGTGTCGTGCTTCAAGCCACCGCCCTCCTTTGTGCCCTCCGCCCCCCCACCACCCCCCCCCCCCCCCCCCCCCCACGGACAGATCATCACGGTGAACTGCGTGAGGATCCTCAAGCCTAACCTGCTCGCGTCCAACGGAGTGGTGCACATCGTTGAGAGCATCATCCCTCCGGCCAGCGCCAGCATCCGCGCCATCCTGGAGAGCGACAGCCGCCTGCAGACCCTCACGGTGAGGGGGAGGGGGGCAGAGGGGGGCAGGGGGGGCACGACCGGGGGCGGTTCGAATCAAAGCGGCCGCCCTGGTTAACAGAGGGTAGGGTTGGGGTGGAGTTCATAAAAACGGGATGTTTTTGTTTTGTTCTCGGGTTAGATCGCCCCCCTCCACTCCTGTTGCCCCCGCACTCAGCGGGCTGTCTCTCTCGTGTGAGCACGTGCGTATGCATGACACAGAGACCCATAGACTCACACAGAGACCCATACACTCACACAGACACCCATAGACTCACACAGAGACCCACAAACTCGCACAGAGACCCATAAACTCACACAGCCCACAGACTCACACAGAGACCCATAGACTCACATAGAGACCCATAGACTCACACAGACACCCACAAACTCGCACAGAGACCCATAGACTCAAACTAAAACCCATAGACTCACACAGAAACCCATAGACTCACAGAGACCCACAGACTCACACAGAGACTTATCGACTCACACAAAGACCAATACACTCACACAGAGGTGCACCGACCCACACAGAGACCCACTGACTCACACAAAGACCTATATACTCACACAGAGATGAACCGACCCACACAGAGACCCACAGACTCGCATGGAGACCCACTGACTCACACAGAGACCTATATACTCACACAGAGATGCACCGACCCACACAGAGACCCACAGACTCGCATAGAGACCCACTGACTCACACAGAGACCTATATACTCACACAGAGATGCACCGACCCACACAGAGGCCCACAGACTCGCATAGAGACCCATGGACGCACACATAGACCCGCAGACTCACAAAGAAACCCATACGCATGTCGATTCTACATGTGGAGGGAAAACCCGGAGAATAATCAAAGAGACCAAATATACTATTTGAAACTTATTTCTATTTTACCGGCGAGGCCAACCGAACTACGTAGCTATTTTTCAGAAGTAACCTGGCGATAAATGACAGCTCTCGCAGTGCCTTATCACATGGACATTTATAGCAGCCAAATCATCAAAACGCACGTCGATTCTAAACGGGGGGGGGGGGGGTGGGGAAACCGGAGGACACCGCAGAAAACCTCACGCGACCACAGGGGGAGAGAGAGAGAGAGACAAGCAAACTCCAAACATACTTCTTTGGTTATTTCGGTAAAGTCACATAGAATGAGAATAAAATAATAAAATAACACAATAAAATTCTCACGACGTTTCGGCCACAACGCAAGCGGCCGTCTTCAGGTGAAAGGTACAGACCTGTCGGGACGAAACGTCGTGAGAATTTTATTGTTTCATTTTATTATTTTATTCTCATTCTACGTGGTGGTGACTTTACCGAAAGGACCAAAGCAGACGAATCCTTGCAGTCGCGAAAGCTTTAAATCGAAATTTTAAATCCAAACATACCGTTTAAACTTTTACAAGTTACCAGGTTAGGGGCCCCCACCGAGCCGGACAGCTCTCTGTCAGAAAGTCACCTGACCATCGCAAAGTGACGGCCCGAGAGGATTGTCACGTTGCCTCTGAAGCGCGCCTTTGCTAAGCGTGGACGGCGGTGGGGGAAGATTAAAAAAAAACAACAACAACAACAACAACAGGCTTCGGTCAGGGTTTTTGCGGGACCGAACCCGCGACCTCGGGCACACGCCCGAGCGAGGTCATCGAACGTCCATCCGCGGCCACCGCGGCGTTCCCACGCCCGTCGTTCGTCACCGTTCCTGTCCGCGTGGGTTGTGGGGCACGTGCGGCCCGCAGTCGGCGCTGCGCTCTGCCGGAATGCTGGAGACGGTGGGCGTCGGCGTTGGCCCCTACACGTTGTTCGCTCCCACCGACGCCGCCTTCGAGAAGCTCCCCAAGGAGATGCTCGCACGCATCCTCGCCGACCCCGTCGCCGTCAAAGGTACGTCGGCGTGGGTGGGTGTGGGTGTGGGTGGGGTGGGTGGGTGGGTGCGCCGAGATGCCGTACAGAAATCGAGGGAATGTATCATTTGTTCGAATTTATGTCGTGGGATCTCCTTTGCCGGTACCAAAATATAAGCATCGGGTTGTTTCCACTGTTACCTGGCAACAGAACAGCCGTGTTGAGATGTTAAAAAAACACCAAACTGAAACCTTTTACGAGGAATCGTGTTACTGCATTCTGACCGCAATACTTGTGGTCAGAATGCAAACGAAAACAGAGTGTTTGTTTTGTTAACACAAATGTGTCTTTAAAACCCGCCACCACCCGACACAGCCAACAACTGGTAAGGGTTGTCACGTAAACAGAACGTGGCCAATTTGTCACTAGTACAGCACTAGTGTATAGTGTAGTGTATAGTAGTGTATTGTAGTGTATAGTGTATTGTATAGTGTAGTGTGTAGTGTAGTGTGTAGTGCAGTGTATAGTGTATTGTATAGTGTAGTGTGTAGTGTATAGTGTAGTGTATAGTAGTGTATTGTAGTGTATAGTGTAGTGTATAGTATAGTGTATAGTATAGTGTATAGTGTAGTGTAGGGGTCACCAAACTTTTTTCACAGTGGGCCGAATAAGTTGAAAGAATGACGAGCGCGGGCCGCTTAATCATTCTGTTCAATACTTGCAAGCCAGAACGAAAACTCGGGGAAAAAAGACGAAAAACTAAGTTTAGCCTTCCATGTTAATCATGGGTGAGTGGCGTGCAATGCACAAAAAAAACCAAAGACAACCAACCTTATTTATTTACTAAAAAGTTATCAAAGAAGGCGACGTTAGCAAAAAGATAGTTACATCAGACCTAGTGTGTTGTCATATCCGAATCTCACAAACTAAGCAGCAAAAAAGGTTAGTGGGATTTGTGAAACTGACGTTTGGCTTTCAAGATATCATCGATGTTTGGTTTGGAATTGCTGCAACCAACCAAGAGAATTGCTTTCAAATGTTCATCAGTCAATCTCGTTCGATGTGTTGACTTCACATACTTCATTTTTGAAAATGTTTGCTCACAGACATAAGTTGTTCCAAACACTGATGCCATACCAGCGGCAAATTTCTTCAAGTTTCGGAAACTCAACATCAGGTAAGCAGCGGTAAAATTCAACAAGTTTTACTTCTCTGCGCTTCTCTTTCAACAAGTCATTTGCTTGCAAATCAATGAGCTCCAACTGTAGTTCAACTGGCACATCATCAAGGTTACAATCAAACGGGTTCTGGAACAGAAGAATGTCACTCTCAATTCTGTCAAGATCTGAAAATCTCTTCAAAAAAAGCTTCTTCAAGTCACGAATAATCTTTTTCGGAAAATCGAGGTTGACATCTTCTTTGGTTCTTTCGGTAAAGTCACGTAGAATGAGAATAAAATAATAAATTGATAAAATAAAATAACACAATAATATTCTCACGACGTTTCGAGGTTGACATCTTCAGCGATTGTAGCGCAAAACTCTTTGAAACGGTGAAAATGAGAGACGTTTTCTCCTTCCAGTTGTGCTTCAAACAATGACAGCTTTCTCCGAAATCCTTTGATGATTCTGTAAGAGATCACAGACGAGGTTATCCTTTCCCTGAAGTTTCAAGTTCAGTTCATTCGTGTGGGATGTGATGTCGACCAAAAATGACAACTTTGACAGCCAGCCAGGTAGGATCTGACAGCTGTGGATCAGCTCTATCTTTTTCAGTGAGAAAAAAAAAAACATCTGTTTCGTTTCGGAGCTTGTAAAAACGAAACAGAACTTTACCGCAGCTGAGCCACCTCACTGCTGTGTGACGAGGCAAGTCACAGAAATCAGAATCAAATTTCTTCAAGAAAAGCCTGGAACTGACGGTGATTGAGTGCATGTCCCCGAATGAAGTTCACAGCATAAACGACTGGTTTCAGTACGCAAGAAATATCTAAGTCTTTCCCACAGAGTGCTTGCTGATGTACGATGCAATGTATGAACAGAGCGCCCGGAATTTGCAAATCTTCCAACTGGGTCCTGATCTGCCCCACCAGACCCTTCCTCACTCCGGCCGTGTGTTTTTCCTCCATCAACTGTAACACCTCGAAGCTGATTCCACTGAAGGTTATAGTCTCGCATAGTTTTTTGCACTTCCATGAAAATGTATTTTCCAGTTGTTGTTCCATCCATGCATGCCGCAAACGGATGCCAACTCTTCCGTTATCCGAAAGTCCAAATTGACACCTCGGATGAACACGAGAAGTTGTGACGTACTCAAGAGATCAGCAGATTCATCCAGCGCCAGAGAATACCACAACAAGTTCCTAGCTTTCTCGCGTATCTGTAGCACTATGTTCTCTCTAAGTTCTTCTGTTCTCCGCACAACTGAACTTGCCGAAAGGCTGATACTTCCAAACAAATCGGCTCTCTCAGGACACAAGCAATTTGCTGCTTCCATCATACACTCTTTGACGAAGTTGCCATCAGTAAACGGTTTTCCTCGTTCTGCCATCTTATGCACTAATAAAGTATTAAAGCTTTCGTGACTGCATAAAATTACTCATTGGTTTTTTCGGTAAAGTCACGTATGTAGAAATACAATAAAATTATATTAAAACAAAAAACAATCACGTTTCGATCACAACGCAAGCGATCTTCATCAGGTGATGACGATCGCTTGCGTTGAAACATCGTGATTGTTTTTTGTTTTAATATAACTTTATTGGATTTCTACATACGTGACTTTACCGAAAAAAACAATGAGTAATCTTATGCACTATATTGTAACTTGTACTCGTGACAAGATTCACTTTCAGCAAACTTTCTCGTGAAGAGATTTCTTTGAGTTTCTAAACCACGTTTCATGGACTCATATTTCTCAGAGCGTAACTTTCCAGAAAACTTTGAATATGTCGATAGATGTTTTGTCTCATAGTGACGCCGAAGATTGTACTCTTTCAAATCGGCAACACTTTCGCTGCATATTACGCGACTATCTTTCTGGTCCTATGTTTCCACAAAGAAGTACTTTACTCCCCATCCTTCATTGAAAACGCGACGCTCGGCGTCCACTTTTCTTAGTAGGCAAAATGAAGGGTGAAGAAAACGGGATCTGAAAATGAAAAAGGCATTGAATTATTTCCTATTGAAACACAATAAAAGCAGAGGATTCAGAGGTCACTGGTGAAGCTACGGCCGACCAAAGGTACATATGAAGTTTATAGGCACCTTTGGTAATAGAATATATCACATAATAAGGTTTACAAAATATATAAATAGGGCGGGCCTAAATAAAGAGCCTAGAGACCAGCTCGATTAACACCTTGACCGGGAATTTTTTCTGAGCTGGGGATAATATTTGCGTAATAACACGAGGCTTCTATGGCATTGTTATTCTATGTTTGTTACTTTATGACCTCTAGCCACCGTGATGATGATGAGAGAGAGAGAGACACGCAAACTCAAAATATACAGTAGCAGGCGTCAGGGTCAGGATTGATCCCACGACCTCCTGCATACCAGGCGTGGTAGTTAACATCTCCTAGCCACCGTGATGATGATGAGAGAGAGAGACACGCAAACTCAAAATATACAGCAGCAGCAGGCGTCAGGGTCAGGATTGATCTCACTACCTCCTGCATACCAGGCGAGGTAGTTAACATCTCCTAGCCACCGTGATGATGATGAGAGAGAGAGACACGCAAACTTCAAATATACAGCAGCAGCAGGTGTCAGGGTCAGGATTGAACCCACGACCTCCTGCATACCAGGCGAGGTAGTTAACATCTCCTAACCACCGTGATGATGAGAGAGAGAGAGAGACACGCAAACTCCAAATATACAGCAGCAGCAGGCGTCAGGATCAGGATTGATCCCACTACCTCCTGCATACCAGGCGAGGTAGTTAACATCTCCTAGCCACCGTGATGATGAGAGAGAGAGAGACACGCAAACTCCAAATATACGGCAGCAGCAGGCGTCAGGGTCAGGATTGATCTCACTACCTCCTGCATACCAGGCGAGGTAGTTAACATCTCCTAGACACCGTGATGATGAGAGAGACACGCAAACTCCAAATATACCGCAGCAGCAGCAGGCGTCAGGGTCAGGATTGACCCCACGACCTCGTGCATACCAGGCGTGGTTGTTAACATCTCCTAGCCACCGTGATGATGATGAGAGAGAGAGACACGCAAACTCCAAATATACAGCAGCAGCAGGCGTCAGGGTCAGGATTGACCCCACGACCTCCTGCATACCAGGCGAGGTAGTTAACATCTTCTAGCCACCGTGATGGTGATGAGAGAGAGAGACACGCAAACTCCAAATATACAGCAGCAGCAGGCATCAGGGTCAGGATTGATCCCACGACCTCCTGCATACCAGGCGAGGTAGTTAACATCTCCTAGCCACCGTGATGATGAGAGAGAGAGAGAGACACGCAAACTCCAAATATACAGCAGCAGCAGGCGTCAGGGTCAGGATTGAACCCCACGACCTCCTGCACCCTAGGCGAGGTAGTTAACATCTCCTAGCCACCGTGATGATGAGAGAGAGAGACACGCAAACTCCAAATATACAGCAGCAGCAGGCGTCAGGGTCAGGATTGAACCCCACGACCTCCTGCACCCTAGGCGAGGTAGTTAACATCTCATAGCCACCCAGACGCCGGCGTATGGCAGCTGGAGCCGTCCACGCGAATGCTGCTGCAGCCGGTCACACGTCCGGCACAGCGGTCCTTCACCGACCGTGCGCGACAAACAAACGAATGAATCGACGGACGAATGAATGAGCTGATGAACGACAGACTGAACGGATGGCTGAACGAATGAATCAACGAATCGATGAATGAATCGACGAATGAATCAATGAGCGCACAGATCAAAGAATGAATGAACTAACGGACGAACGAATGAGTTGACAAGTGAATGGACCGATGAACGAATGAATGAACTGACGAACGAGTGGCTGAACGGGCGGATGAACGATTGAATCAACGAAGGAATCAATAAATGAATTGAAGAATGAAAAGGCGAACGGATGAACAAACGGACGAACAGATAGACGAATGAACGAACCAACGGACGGACGAACGAACGAACAGACGAGCGAAGGAACGAGTAAATGAACGAACGGATAGACGAATGAACGAACGAACGGACGAACGAACGAACGAATGAACGGAGAGGCGAACGAATGAATGAATAAATGAACGGATAGACGAATGAACGAACAGACGAACGAACGATCGAACGGAGAGGCGAACGAATGAACGAACGAATAAAACGAACGAACGGACAGACGAATGAACGAACGAATGGACGAACGAACTAACGATTGAACGGAGAGGCGAACGAATGAACGAACGAAAAAACGAACGAACGGACAGACGAATGAGCAAACGGACGAGCGAGCGAACGAATCGACGAGCGAACGAATCGACGAGCGAACGAGCGGCTCGCGCGTCACCCCCCCCCCTCCTCCCCCCCCTCCCCCCCCGGCAGCCCTGCTGCAGCACCACGTGGTGCGCGCGGCCGTGTGCACGGGGGCCTTGCTGGGCCCCGTGCGGCACGACAGCGCCGAGGGCTCCCCGCTGCTGCTCGGCTGCGGCCCCGCCGGGGTGACGGTGGACGGGCGCGCCGTGGTAGAGCAGGCGGACCGCGTGGCCACCAACGGCATCGTCCACGTCCTCAACGAGCTGCTGCTGCCCGACTCCGGTGAGAGTGGGGGGTAGGGGGTAGGGGGGGGTGGGGGGGTAGGGCGTGGTGGGGGGTGGTGGTGGGGGGCCAAGGGTGGCGAGGTGGGGGGGGCGGGGGGGCACAACCGAGGGCGGTGACGCGGGCGGCACGTGGAGCGAGCTCGACGCTGGTCGCCATTGCTTTGCGGATCGGCTCAAGGTGACCGCCCTGGTAAATAGGGGTAGAGTTGAAGGGGATTGATAATAAAGAGGTTTTTTTCCCCCCCCCTCGGGTTAGAGCGCCCCCCGCAACCCTCTCTCGTGTGAGCACGTGCGTATGCATGAAACAGAGACCCATAGACTCACACAGAGACCCATAGACTCACACAGAGACCCATAGACTCACGCAGAGACCCATAGACTCACGCAGAGACCCATACACTCACACAGAGACCCATAGACTCACACAGCCCACAGACTCACACAGAGACCCACAGACTCGCACAGAGACCCATAGACTCACACAGAGACCCATAGACTCACACAGAGACCCACAGACTCACACAGAGACCCACAGACTCACACAGAGACCCATAGACTCACAGAGAGAACCATAGACTCGCACAGAGACCCATAGACTCACAAAGAGACCCATAGACTCACACAGCCCACAGACTCACACAGAGACCCACAGACTCGCACAGAGACCCACAGACTCACACAGAGACCCACAGACTCACACAGAGCCCACAGACTTACACAGAGACACATAGACTCACACCGAGACCCATAGACTCGCACAGAGACCCATAGACTCACAAAGAGACCCATAGACTCACACAGAGACCCACAGACTCACACAGAGATCCATAGACTCACACAGAGATCCATAGACTCACACAGAAACTCATAGACTCACGCAGAGACCCACAGACTCACACAGAGACCTACAGGCTCACACAGAAACCCACAGACTCACACAGAGACCCACAGACTCACACAGAGACCCACAGACTCACACATAGACCCACAGACTCACACAGAGACCCACAGGCTCACACAGAGACCCACAGGCTCACACAGAGACCCACAGACTTACACAGAGACCCACAGGCTCACACAGAGACCCACAGACTAACATAGAGACCCACAGACTAACATAGAGACCCACACACTCTCATAGAGATCCACAGACTCGCACAGCGGCCCACAGTGGTCTAATCTTATTCAGAATGAGAATAATTGTTTATACTGCAGGAGGAATCTGATGACCTATGAAGCTCTTTGTTTTAACCTTTGTCGGGTAAGGGGCACGGGGGTCAGAACGTCGCAACGACAACACACAACACAAAAACATATCTATTAGGAGTGCAAAGTCTAAGAAACGTAAGCAAATGACACAAAACCAAACCCCACTGCAGCAAACAAAGACAATGATCGCCCGTGTAGCCTTTAACAGACTGTTGGGGCAAGTGCTGTTTAGGAGCAGCTCCAGAACGGCACACGAGGGGGTGGGTGGCCAGCAACCGCGCCCGGCCGCCTTTGTCTCCCCAGTGGCGATGTTTAATGCACACCGCACCAGGCAATCAATTGGCCCACCTATACCTCTGCCTACTTTAATTTTAATCCATGCGATCGCACCCTCGGCTCAGTGTTTGACATTGATGGAACGGTCGTTGCGTTCGGCAATTCAGTTGTTTAAAACGTGTTGAGTGTGCGTTTGGGGTTGTGTGTGTGGGGTTTTATTGCGTGTCATGGGTCTGCTGCTGTGTGTGTGTGTAATTGGGGAGCGATAGTGTAACGGTTAGCGCGCTGCGCTATGAACCTGGCGACCCGGGTTCGATTCCCGCTCACGGCCAACACCAGTGACGATTATCTGAACCGGTCCCGGGCCTCCCCTAGGTCGACTCAGCCTCAAATGAGTACCTGGTGCGGTGTGTAAACATTGCCACTAGGGAGACAAAGGCGGTCGGGCGTGGTGCTGGCCACCCACCCCCTCGTGTACCGTTCCGGCCTTCATAGGTGCTCGCTAACAGCACTTGCCCCTACAGTCTGTTAAGGCTATATGGGGGATCTTTGTTGTCTTTGTGTGTGTGTAATTGCCTCGGCCATTGTGGGAGCGGCAGTGTAGCGGTTAGCGCCTTGAACCTGGCCACCCGGGTTCGATTCCCGCTCACGGCCAACACCGGTGACCGGTCCTTGGCCTCCCCTAGGTCGACTCAGCCTCAAATGAGTACCTGGTGCGGTGTGTAATAAACATCGCCACTGGGGAGACAAAGGCGGCCGGGCGTGGATGCTGGCCACCCACCCCCCTCGTGTTGCCGTTCCGGCCTTCATAGGTGCTCGCTAACAGCACTTGCCCCTAAAGTCTGTTAAAGGCTACACGGGGGATCTTTGTCTTTGTTCAGTGCGGCGAGAATTTAGTGTAGTGGTCAGCGCACCGCAACTGTGAACCCGGCGACGCCGAGTTCGACTCCCGCTCACAACCAATAACATCAGCGAATATTTGAACCTCCCCTGGGGTCTCAAACGGTGGCGACGTGCAGACGTGGGCACTGGGGAGACAAAGGCGGCCGGGTGCGTCGGTGCCGGTCAAGGCATCCCCCCCCCGCCCTCGTACGCCATATCAGCACTTGCCCCAGCGGTCTGTTAAAGGCTGCACGGGGGGTGGGGGTTGCGTTTGTGTTGCAGCGAAGAGCACGCTGGAGCTGATGGATGACCCCGACCACACGACGTTCAAGGACATGTTCGTGCGAGCTGGGCTCAAGAGCTCGCTGCGGGACGGGGCCGCCTACACCCTGTTGGCACCGACCAACAAAGCCTTCGGTGGTGAGGAATCTCCCAACCCCACGCCCCCCCCCTGCTGCACCACTACACACCCACGAACTCCTGGTGTGCAGGAGGTCGTGGGTTCGATCCAGACCCTGACGATGCCTGGTGTATTTTTGGAGTTTGCGCGTCTCTCTCTCTCATCATCATCACGGTGGCCAGGAGATGTTAACTACCTCGCCAGGTATACAGGAGGTCGTGGGTTCGATCCCGACCCTGACGCCTGCTGCTGTATATTTAGAGTTTGCGCGTCTCTCTCTCTCATCATCATAATCATCACGGTGGCTAGGAGATGTTAACTACCTTGCCTGGTATACAGGAGGTCGTGGGTTCGATCCCGACCCTGACGCCTGCTGCTGTATATTTAGAGTTTGCGCGTCTCTCTCTCTCATCATCATAATCATCACGGTGGCTAGGAGATGTTAACTACCTCGCCTGGTATGCAGGAGGTCGTGGGTTCGATCCCGACTCTGGCGCCTGCTGCTGCTGCTGTATATTTGTACTCCCCGCAATCGTGTGGATTTTTGTCCGGGTCCTCCGGTCCTCCGGTCTCTTCCCCACACGTTAGAATCAGCGTGCGTTCTACACCACTCGGCTGCGACACATTCCGTTGGGCTATCACTTGCGGTGGGCAGCTCACCACTGAAAAAAATTGCTAAGTCGGGACCTTTGCCTGGTGAAATAAAACGAAGATCAAATCTGGGAACGGCGGCGGACAAAGACGTGGGTGGTGGGTGGGTGGGTGGGTGGTGGGTGGTGGTGTGGTGGTGGGTGGGTGGTGGGTGGGTGGGTGGTGGGTGATGGTGGGTGGTGTGGTTGGTGGTGGTGGGTGGGTGGTGGTGTGGTGGTTGGGTGGTGGTGTGGTGGGTGGTGGGTGAGTGGTGGGTGGTGGTGGGTGGGTGGTGGGTGGTGGTGGTGGGTGGTGGGTGGGTGGGTGGTGGGTGGGTGGTGGTGTGGTGGGTGGTGGTGGGTGGTGGTGGTGTGTGGGTGGTGGTGTGGTGGGTGGTGGTGTGGTAGTGTGGTGGTGGTGGGTGGTGGTGTGGTGGTGGTGGGTGGTGGTGTGGTGGTGGTGGGTGGTGGGTGGTGGTGGGTAGTGGTGGGTGGTGGTGGTGGGTGGGTGGTGGTGTGGTGGGTGGGTGGTGGTGGGTGGTGGTGGGTGGTGGTGGGTGGTGGTGATGGGTGGTGGTGGGTGGGTGGTGGTGTGGTGGGTGGGTGGTGGTGTGGTGGGTGGTGTGGTTGGTGGTGGTGGGTGGTGTGGTTGGTGGTGGGTGGTGGTGGGTGGTGGTGGAGGGTGGTGGGTGTTGGGTGGTGGTGGGTGGTGGGTGGTGGGTGGCGGTGGATGGTGGGTGGTGGGTGGCGGTGGGTGGTGGGTTGTGGTGGTGGTTGGTGGTGGTGGTGGGGGAGCAGAACCGAGGGTGGTGACGCGTCACGTGGAGCGAGCTCGACGCCTGTAGCAGGGGGCTCGCGGTTCGAATCAAAGCGGCCGCCCTGGTTAATAGGGGTAGGGTTGGGGAGGAGTTCATAAAAAAAGTTTTTTCTCGGGGTGGGGGGGGGGGGGTGGAGGAGGTGGGGGGGGTGGGGGTGGGGGGGGGGGTGGGGGGGGTGGGGAGGGGGTGGTGCCCTCGCGCGTCCGGCTGATCTGAGTCGACACTTTGCACCGGCGTGGCGCTTTCGGATGACAGGGTCCCTCCTCTCGGCCTCCTCGTCCGAGCTGAGCGCGGCCATGAAGAACCACGTGCTCAAGGGCAGCGTGCAGCTGCACGAGCTGTTCGGCGGCAAGGCGCTGGAGACGCTGTCCGGCAAGAAGCTCCGCGTGTTCATCTACCAGAAGGTGCCACGGTGACGACGACGATGATGATGATGACGATGACGATGACGATGATGATGACGACGACGATGATGACGATGACGACGACGATGATGATGATGACGACGACGACGATGATGACGACGATGACGTTGATTACGATGATGACGATGACGACAATGATGATGATGACGACGATGATGATAACGATGGCGATAACAATGACGATGATGACGATGATGACGACGACGACGATGATGATGATGACGACGACGACAATGATGACGGCGATGACGTTGATTACGATGATGACGATGACGACGATGACGACTATGATGATGATGACGATGGCGATAACAACGACGATGATGATGATGACGACGATGATGATGATGATGATGACGACGATGATGACGATGATGACGACGACGACGATGATGATGACGACGACGACGATGATGATGACGACGACGACGATGATGATGACGATGACGTTGATTACGATGACGACGATGATGACGATGACGACGATGATGACGATGATGACGACGATGGCGATGGCCGGCGATGATGACGATGACGACGATGACGACGATGGCGATGACGACGATGATGACGACGACGGCGATGATGATGACGACGACGATGATGACGACGATGACGTTGATTACGACGATGACGATGACGACGATGATGACGATGACGACGACGACGGCGATAACAATGACGATGATAACAACGATAATAACGACGATGATGACGATGACGACGATGACGATGATGACGATAACAACGACGATGATAACGACGATGATGACGATGACGACGATGACGATGATGACGATAACAACGACGATGACGACGATGACAACGATAGCGATAACAACGACGATGATAACGACGATGACGACGATGGTGGTAACCACGACCACCGGCAGTCCGTGGGGAAAATGGCCGAGCAGGGGCCGGTTGGGGAGTCGCTCTGCGTGGGGAAATTGCAAAATGTTATCAGGGTAAAAATAAATACATTTTGATGCACAAAATATTGTTTTTTTTTTACATATATATCTAAACTTTAAATAACATTTTTTTGTTTATAAAAAATATATATATACTTGTTTAAAGTTTCATTTAAATTACGTGTATTATTCAAAAATTACAATAATTCGAATTTTAATTAAAACTTTTTTTTTATATCCACATTTCGTTTTATTTTTCACATCAAATATTGTACGATTCCTCTAATGTGTACGCTGTGTTGCTTATTTTATGCTCTCAGTTGCCATCGGAATCCCTATTCCTCAGCAGTCGCCCCAAAAATCCTCTTATCGCACGGGCATACCATTTGTTTGCTTGCACCAATCCCCAAAATTGGGGCCAATGACATCCCACGGTCAAACAACCGCCCTAGCACTTGGTCAGATCGCAACATCGAGCTGCTCGTACCACTACCGGCCGCCTTTGTCTCCCCAGTGGCGATGTTTACACACCGCACCAGGTACTCATTTGAGGCTGAGTTTGTCACGTAACCCATTACGACAAAGTATAATAGTTGCCCGTAGCCAGCGTTTGTGCCGGTGTGTTTACAAATGCCTGGGCCGATTCTCTGTCCCCCGTCGCGTCGCTGGCCACCGGCTACAATCGGCGCTGATCGTGACAGCGGTGCGGACCGTTGGCATCCTCACAACTTTGCTGACCTACCTCAGCTCAATCAGCTCAATCCTCCCGTGGCGAGATGTTAATTACCTCGCCCGGTATGCAGGAGGTTGTGGGCTCGATCCCAAATCCTGACGACGCCTGCTGCTGTATATTTGGAGTTTGCGGTGTCTCTCCGCCTCGTCGCGTTGGCTTTTTGCCCGTGGCCTCCACGTTTAGAATCGACGCGCATTTAGAGTATTTGTCTGCTGTGATTGTTCCACGCGACGAGCCAATTCGTTGCGATGCCACTCGTGGGCGAGATGGTGGCTTCTGAAAAACAGCTACGCAGCCCAGCAGTGCCTTACCAGGTTACAAGAAAAAAATAGCTAGCAAATAGTTTTTTTTAAGTATGAACCACGTGACTTTTGCAGCTGGGGTTGCAACGTATCATTATTATGATGCTGATGATGATGCAAGTTTAACCAGGAGAGCCTCACCGAGTCTCAAAGACTCCTTTTTTCAGGAGGGTCCTGCCAAGTTTTCGCAGAACGGGGAGCGATGTTGCTGCTGCCGCTGCCACTGCCGCGTGCAATTACAAAGTCAGTCATTTGCGGTGCAATTGTTCAGCACAATGTCATTGGTCAATACCAGCTACGTATTTTTATTCTCATTTTTTTTAAGCGATGAGATAAAAAAAACCGGAGATACCGGAGGGAAACCCGCGCACAAACCCACACGCAGAAAGCCAGCCGAGTCGGGAATCGAACCCAGGGACCCTCTTTACCGATGAGGACCAATCACTACGCCACTCTGCCGCCTGCCGCTTTGTTTACGCGTCTTCATTCATCGAGGGGTTATCCTCCGTAGAGTCGCACCTGATGAGGTAGTTAGAGTCGTCGGCCAGCGCCTTTGGCCCATGCCACAGGATCGGGGCTCGCTTGCAAACCCATCAATCCATGGCCACCCTCCAAGAGCGACGTGTCCCTGGTGAACCCACAGTCAATCAGTTATACGGGGGGAGGATGATTTGTCTTCGTTCTCTGTGGGTATGCGTGCGTGCGTGTGTGTATGTGTGGTTCAGTGCCGGATGACCCTAGCAGCACAAGTAGCTACACAATGCTACGGGGCCCCGCACTTTCAATGGGCCCGCGCTAAATGCTTTCAAGCTATCCATTCCGGTTGGGTTATTCCGCTACTTGCTCTATCGCTATACTGCCTTCGACTATTACGAACGGCTGGGTGTTTAAGGTGAGAGATTTGTCGTATTATCCGGCCGTGTAGCAAATTTAAAAAAAAAATACAATTGCTTCACTGTGCAAGTAAAAAAAAAAACAAACGTGTGTTTTAATAGTTACGTGATTTTTTTAATGTTATGTTATTTAGGTCCCCTTCATAACAACATACCGCTAGAGGCCCCGCGCTGAGCTTCATGCTGCACTGTGGAGGTTATGTGGCAAGCGTTGGCCCATTCGTAAAGCTCGCCGACGCATTCAAACCCGGCGGCTTCACTTCCAGTTCTCGCTCACGGCCAACACCAGTGGCGATTATAAGAACCGGTACCTGGAGCGTCCCCTAAAAGGTCGACGCAGGCTTGAATCAGTGCCTGCGTGCGGTGCGTAAGCGTGGCCACTCGGGGAGGCAAAGGCGGCCGGGCGAGGTATTACCCACCCACCCCCCCCCCCTCGTGTGCCGTGCCGGCCTTCATAGGGTTGCTACTCGCTGACAGCACTTGCCCCAACGGTCTGTTAAGGCTACTCGGGTGGTCTTTGTCTTTGTGTTTCACAGTGGCCGGCGTAAATTTGCGGTACCTCGCGGTGAATTAAAAAGAAGAAAAAGCACAACTGCCAACATTTAAAGGACACATTGGCTCCTAATTAAATTCGGGAACGCGTGAACAATATAGCATTCTGTTTCTGGAACGTGCTCGACGAATTAAGGTTGACGAGACTGATCTTCGAAAAAAAAGTTGTTTTCAAACGGAGCGGCTCATTTCATTAAAAACCGATCTGGGGATGGCCTAAGCGGGCCCAGATGCATTGGCAATGAGTGTGGTGAACCGACACAGCACTTGCTCCAACAGCCTGTTACATGCTATGCGGGTGGGAGGGTGGGGGAGGGTGGAGATCTTTGTCTTTGTGTGTCTTTGTGTCTGTGTGTGTGTCTGTGCGTTGGCTGGGTCATGTAGCCCGCATGCCCAGACACCGCATGCCTAAAGGGACCGTGCATAAATGACGTCACGCACCTAGGTGTGGGGGGGGGGGGGATGGTCAGACATTTGTGACGATGTGTGACGAGGGGGGGGGGGGTTTGAGAAATGTGACGTCACATCAAAATGCGCAACTATAAATATAGACAAACACGTTCTACTTAATTAAATAGACTTTTAAATAAATGTTTTCTCCTACAACATCAGAGTGCAGCGGCACATTAAATACGCACTACTACAATGACAATAGTTTAAAGCGATTTGAAGCATGTTTTATTTTTTTGGCGGGGGGGAGGGGGCAGAGCTTTGTGACGTCATATTTGAGGGGGGTCTGACTTTTTGTGACGCCGTGTGACGAGGGGGGGGGGTCAAAAAATCATCCAAAATCGCGTGACGTCATTTATGGACGGCCCCAAACAGCTTTTGTTCGGCCGGTTAGAGGGGGCTAAACGGGCACGGCACGGGCTAGAGAAGAGATGGAGTGATGTGGTACAGGAGGACGTGGAGCTGAGTGGACTTGCCGATGACTGGTACCAGCGGTGTCAAGATCGGCCTCTGTGGAGGAGGTTCGTGAAGGACGCTACTGGGCAGTTGGAGGCAGTCGCCCTCCAACAACAACGGAGGGCGGAGGAGCGACGCTCACAACAATGAGCGGAGCGCCGGGTGGCTAAAGCACAGCAGGTTGGCACAGTAGGGTGCACAGGTGGTGCATCAGCCAGTCATCTCAGTCATCTCAGTCAGTCGACCCGTGGCACCTGCTGGACCTGCCCCGTGACCTCCTGCCAGCGGGCGTTTGACACCGCACGTGGCCTCAACGTGCACCTAGCCTGCTACAGGCGTCGTGGTGACATCACGGCCAATTAGTGGCGAATGGCGGTTGTTGTTGTTTGTTGTTGTTGTTGTCGTGTGTGTGTGTAGGCCATCTGTCTGGAGAATGCGTGCGTGTCGCCCAGAGTGAAGCACGGCCAAACGAGCGACATGTTCTCCCTCGACCAAGTCGTGCGTGCCCCGACCAAATCGCTGCTGGACCTGCTCAAGGCCGACAAACGCTTCAGGTTCATTATGATGGGAGGGGAGGGAGGGGTTGGGTGAGGTCGCGTGAGTGTAAGCCATCTGGCTACCATGAGAGATTCGTTCATGAGGCTATCCACATACACAAGCACAGAGACAATTTCAACCGAGAAGATGGATTCTGGCTTAGCAATCATTGGAAGGATTTGATAAACCATTTTCAGGTCTTAATTGATTGTTCACACTTACGGTGGCTTTCAGACAGCATACATTAATTTTTTCGTCTCCCCCCTCCTCTTTTCAGAACATAGATGGACTCGTCCTTCTAAATAAACTGCCAAATCGCTGCGTGTGGCGCTGACGTTTTTTATAAATAAATAAGTACACCGTTTAAAAATAAATAAATTACTGCGAACCGACACACCTGATGACGACCGTTTGTGTTATGGTCGAAACGTCGTGAGAATTGTTTTCGTTTTATATATTTTTTATTATTTTTTTGTTTCACTTCAACCTGACTTTACCGAAAGAGCTAAGAATATGTAAATGTGTCGTTGAACCCGCCACCACACGACGCAGCCGATTGGCAAGGTTTGTCACGTGAAACGAAACGTGCCCGGCATTTGGACCTTTTCACGTAGAAGGGAAATGATAAAATAATAAAAATAATGAAACGTAATAAAATAAAATTCTCACCACGTTTCGGCCACAGACGTGGTGAGAATTGTATTTTATTATGTTTTTATTATTATTTTATTATTTCCCTTCTACGTGACTTTACCGAAAGAACCAAGAAATATGAATCCCTGCAGTCACGAAAGCTTTAAATCAAAATTTGGACCTTTGTTTGGCAGTATATCAAAATATAACAATAGGTGGGAGTTTTTTTTATCTTACCCTTTCTGCCAATCAAACGGTTGCGTTAAGTCATCGGCCACTCGGGGTGGGGTGTACGCACGAATGTTGAACTTCTTTCGCACCGTGCGTAGCCAAACCGTGCCAAGCAGAGGTGCGGTGGTTGAAGGATTTATGTAGTTTATTGTAAAAATTCGGGCACAGTCCTTGTGATCACTGTTACGTTGCAATTATGGCTTTATTTTTTGGTGATTTGGAAAACGTTTTTTTTGGTTTGGACATGTTTGTTTTGTTGTAGTACTGAGTTAGACTGATGGTCTTAATCTAAGTTTTTCTTGTGGTTGTTGTTGTTGTTGTTTGACTTGCATCCCACTGGGATTTTTTTGCACACAGCGTTTGGTGGTGTACACGGTGCTTTTTTCAGGAATATTTTTGCTGGGTTTTTTTCTATGGATTTTCTGTTTGCACAGTCAACACATAGTCACTTTAAGATGTTTTTCTTGTTCTTGATTTTGTTTTTTTTGTTTGTTGTGGTTGCACCCGATTCAAGAGCCGAATGGCTCACAGGGCTATACCAAAATAAACTAAACTGAAGTGATAACAAACCGCACACAAAGATAAGTTCTCGGGGAACGAGTGTGCCAATCTGGTGCGTAGCATGCAATGGCGATGTGGGGACTTCTCTCTTTGCCAGTGTCAAAATATAAGACCGAACAGAATCCTCTTTCAAGGAATCCTGCCTGCACAAACCACACAGACTTTGTGGCCAACATGCAAACATAAAGCATGCACCGAGCAATAACACAGGCCCGTTGTCTCTGGTGTGGACCGGTCAGTTTCAAAGACAATGCATCATAATAAAGCATTAAAGCTTTCGTGACTGCAGAAAATTACTCATTGGTTTTTTCGGTAAAGTCACGTATGTAGAAATACAATTTTATTTTTTTAAATATAATTTCATTGTATTTCTACATCCGTGACTTTACAATGCATCATCTTGAATTTAAGCTTTCGTGACTGCCAGGAATCCTTACCCGTTGGTTCTTTTCGGTAAAGTCACGTAGGTAAAAAAATACGTGACTTTACCGAATATAACCAAAAAGTATGGATCCTTGCAGAGTCACGAAAACTTCAAATCTAGAATTTCTGTTACTTTATACCCACGTGATAAAATTGTAATTTCTTTCACTACGTACTCACGTGACTTTACCGAAAGCAACCAACGAGTATGCAATGCGTAATATCAGCGGAGCCTTCGTCTCACCGGCGGCTGTGCCTCGCCACAACATCGCTGCTGATGCTGCCGCATCGTGAATGGGTGACCTTGAGTGACGGAACGCTTCCCGATCCGCATGCCCCCCCCCTACTCCGTGTGCCCCCCACTCCCTGCCCCCCCCACCACCACCACAGCACGCTGGTGGGCATGGTGAAGACGTCCGGACTCACCCAGACACTCAACAAGGCGGGCTCCTACACGCTCTTCGCGCCCACAAACGCTGCCTTCGAAGCGCTGCCCTCGTCACGGCTCTCACAGCTCTCGGGTGAAGAGGCTGGGGAGTTCGGGGACTTCTCGTCGTCGTTGTGACGATTCGGTTCTTTTTTTGGTGTCGTCGTCGTCGTCGTCGTGAGGATGATGACGATGTCTCTTTGCTATATTTGTGTTGCTGCTTTCCAACCGTGTCCGACACCCCTGCCCGCCCTCGATTCCGTCCTACGCTCCTTCACGCTCCCTCCGCTCACGAGTGCCCCGGTCTCTCGGTCTGAGTCTCACGCCACACCAGCCACCGCTCCTCCTCCTCCTCGTGCCCGATCGCCATTCCTTTCTTCGTCGCTTTTGGCCCACTTTACGCTGGAACAAGTTGCATCAAGACAATCAGCCTCACGAGGCCATGATTCGTTCTTCGCTGTAAACACAAAAGACAAAGATCCCCCATATAGCCTTAGCAGACTGTAGGGGCAAGTGCTGTTAGCGAGCACCTATGAAGGCCGGAACTGTTCACGAGGGGGTGGGTGGCCAGCACCACGCCCGACCGCCTTTGTCTCCCTAGTGGCGATGTTTACACACCGCACCAGGTACTCATTTGAGGCTGAGTCGACCTAGGGGAGGTCCGGGACCGGTTCAGATAATCGTCACTGGTGTTGGCCGTGAGCGGGAATCGAACCCGGGTCGCCAGGTTCATAGCGCAGCGCGCTAACCGCTACACTATCGCTCCCCACTAAACACAAAAAAAAACACGCTCACTTACTCACACTCGCATTCAGTCACTCACACTAACTCACTCACATAGACAAAGATCCAACATATGTAGCCTTTACAGACTGTAGGAGCAAGTGCTGTTAGCGAGCACTCACACTCACTCACTCACACTCACGCCCACTCACACTCACTCACACCCACTCACTCACACCCACTCACACCCACTCACACTTTCGCACACTCACACTCACTCACTCACACTCACTCGCTCACACTCACTCACACCCACTCACACTCACTCACACTCACTCACACCCACTCACACTCACTCACACTCACACCCACTCACTCACTCACACTCACTCACACTCTCACACACTCACTCGCTCACACTCACTCACACACCCTCACACACACTCACTCACTCACACACACTCACTCACTCACACCCACTCACTCAAACTCACTCAAACTCACAGTGACTCACTCACTCACACTCACTCACTCACACTGACTCACTCACTCACACTCACTCACTCACACCCACTCACACTCGCTCAACACCCACTCACTCACACTCACTCACTCACACTCACTCACACCCACGCACTCACACTCACTCACACTCACTCACTCACACTCACTCGCTCATACTCACTCACACCCACTCACACCCACTCAATCACACTCACTCACAACAACAACAACCGCCATTCGCCACTAAGTGGCGGTGACGTCACCACGACGCTTGTGCCAGGCTATGTGCACCCTGAGGCCACGTGAAGTGTCGAACGCCCGCTGGCAGGAGGTCACGGGGCAGACCCAGGTGCCACGGGTCGACTGACTGAGATGACTGGCTGATGCACCACCTGTGCCCCCTACTGTGCCAACCTGCTGTGCTTTAGCCACCCGACGCTCCGCTCGCTGTTGTGAGCGTCGCTCCTCCGCCCTCCGTTGTTGTTGGAGGGCGACTGCCTCCAACTGCCCAGTAGCATCCTTCACGAGCCTCCTCCACAGAGGCCGATCTTGACACCGCTGGTACCAGTCATCGGCAAGTCCACTCAGCTCCACGTCCTCCTGTACCACATCACTCCATCTCTTCTCTAGCCCGTGCCGCGCCCGCTTAGCCCCCTCAATCCGGCCAAACAAAAGCTGTTTCGGCATGCGGTGGCTGGGCATGCGGGCTACATGACCCAGCCATCGCAGCCTTGCCTGCCGGAGGAGCTCACCGATGGGACCCTGCCCAGATCTTTCAAGGATTTGTGAGCTCCTCACACAATCCAGTCTGGTTAAACCCAGGATGGATCGTAGGCAGGTCAGCCTAAATGTTTCTAACCGGCGAAGATGTTCCATTAGGGGGGTCCACGTTTCGCAAGCGTAGAGAAGGGAGGGAATGACCGTGGCCGAGAAGACCTGAAGCTTAGTGCGGAGCGACAGACCAGGTAGCTTCCACACAGCGTTACGCAACCGATGAAAAGATATTGCCGCTCGACTGATTCGGAGTGAGACCTCTGCTGTTAAACTGGAGCCAGTCATAAGCACACTGCCCAGGTATGGGAAACTCTCCACTCTCTCCACAACTGCCCCATCACCGATTGGGAGTTGTGGGGGTGGAGTGTCCGATGGTACAAAATACCCAGGCAGGTGCTTAGTTTTGGTGGGGCTGATGGTAAGGCCCCACCTCTTAGTGGCACGCTCCAGTCTCAGCAGCAGCGTCTCCAACTCCTCCTCTGACTGAGCAGCTATTACCAAGTCATCAGCATACATAACGTGGTTGAGCAATAGGGAGCCATCCCTTGACCGCACCCGGGCATCGATTAGCCTCCCATTATATCTGTACCATATGGAGATTCCCCCGGTACAGCTATTGAAGGCTTCACGAACTACGTGGTCAAAATAGATGTTAAATAATGTGGGAGCCAGAGGACATCCCTGTCGCACCCCAAGGTGTACAGGGAATGGCTCTGACTCCCGGCCACGTAGTTTTACCCGGGCCCGCTCACCATCATGAAGGTCCTTAATGATCGTGAGCAGAGGGTCAGGTACTCCAAAAGCACGAAGAACGACCCAGAGCCCAGGCCTACTGATGGTATCATAGGCCTTGACCAGGTCAATAAAGCAGAGATGTAGGTCTTGTTGGAATTCCCTACACCTCTGCTGTAGCAGACGGACAGAAAATATGGCATCTGTGCAGGACCGCCCTTTCCTGAAACCGCATTGGGGCTCCGCAAGCCTCTCCTCAGCGTGCCTGGCAAGGCGATGCTGAATAATCCTTGCCAGGACCTTTCCCGGCACACTGAGGAGTGAGATGCCCCTGTAGTTGTTACAGTCTGTGCGGTCCCCCTTCTTAAAAAGGGGGACCACCAGGGCATCCTTCCAATCCTGCGGAACCCGTCCAGTGGTCCAGACTGTTGTTATGATGTCATATAGGGCAGTCTGTGCACAAACGCCACCCTCCCTCAGCATTTCGCTTGGGAGATCATCTCTGCCCACTGCCTTTCGTGGTCTCAGACTCCGGATCGCCTTCAATACTTCCTCAGCAGATGGCACCTCAGCCAGCCACTCACAGGGGGTGACTTCATCCAATATTTGAGGCACCGCAGCCTCAGCAGGGTCATCCTCACTTTGTGCCACGATGTTTTCCTGGCTGAGGGATTTTCCCTCCCACAGGACCTCACAGAAATGCTCAGCAAATCTGCGAACCTGTTCCTGGGGGTCGGAAATTGGATCACCGTTTTTTCCCCTAATGATGGTAATAGGTGTGGTGCTGCAGGTTACTTTTTTGATGGAGTTAAATAGAGATTTGTGATCACGGGCCACTGAGGCAGACTCCATCTCCTCAGCAACCCGCGACCACCACCCATCCTTGCAGCGCCTCACGGCTCTCCGAACCTCCGAGCGAAGGCTGCGGTAAGCCTCCTCATTCTTTGACGTGGGATTCTGTAGCCGATGACAGTGGGCCTGTCGCTTTTTCTCAACTATCCTGAACACCTCCTCTGTCAGCCAGGGTCTCTGGGGAGGTCTGGACCGCGTACCCAAAGCAGCCATTGCAGCTGCATGAGTCACAGTCCTAAACCTCGCCCATTTACCCTCGACATCAGGAGGAGTCGGGGATGATGCCAATCCCAGCCGCAAGCGATGATGAAATTCTCGCTTGCAACTTTCATCAGATAACTGAGACCAGGCCACTTTAGGTTGGAATGGGGTCCTGGGTGTACACCCACCACCGGAGTGGAAGAATGGCAGGCGCATCTTACAGATGACTAGTCGATGGTCAGAGGGCAGATCAGCTCCACGGTAGGTCCTGGTGTCAAGGACATGGGCTCGCATTCGCTGGTCCGTCACTATGTAGTCCAGCAGATGTTCTTGCTTGGACCCGGCATGCATCCATGATGTTGTGTGGATGCGCCGATGCCGGAACAGCGTGTTGGTAATTACAAGCCCATGGGCTGCACAAAAATCTAGCAGCCTCCTACGGTTGTTATTGAGCTGATCTGGCCCATGCCCTCCAATCACTCCAGACCAGGTGCCAGTATCATGACCAACTCGGGCATTGAAGTCACCCAACATGATGACTCTATCCCGAGGGGCCACTTTAGCCAGCACCTGTGACAGGAGGTCATAGAAGGCATCTGACTCATCGGCTTTGCCTGCATCCCTCCACGGATGTTCATCTTCGGTGGGGGCATAAGTAACCACGACCACCATTCCTCGCCTCCGGTTTATGGGAAGGCGAGCCCAAAGTAGCCTGGTGCTTACAGCTTCCCACACCTCACCGCCACGCTCCCACACCCCCTTCATTCTTTTGGCAGCCTCTCCTCTGCAGTGAGCGTTCGAACATTCCACGTGGCCACCCGTAGTGGCTTTTCGTTGTTTCTGGAGTAGCCCCGAGGGTAGGTATTCAATCTCCTGGCTCCGCCAATTGGGGTTTGGCCAGGAGACGTCATAGACGCCTGGCCCCCCGGGGCCTCCGGCACAAGCTTAGTTGTTACATACACACACACACACCCACTCACACTCACTCACACTCACTCGCTCACACTCACTCACACCCACTCACACTCACTCACTCACACTCACTCACTCACACTCACTCACTCACACTCACTCACACCCACGCACTCACACTCACTCACACTCACTCACACTCACTCAATCACTCAAACCAACTCACTCACACCCACTCACTCACACTCACTCACTCACTCACACCCACTCACACCCTCTCACACTTACTCACTCACACTCACTCACTCACTCACACTCACTCACACCCACTCACTCACACTCACTCACTCAAACCAACTCACTCACACCCACTCACTCACACTCACTCACTCACTC